GAGTCTTTGTGTTACAAAGAGAAGGGAGGATTACCAATAAGACTGGGCTTATTACATTTTGATTGGGTTTTCCAAGTCTTTATCGCATAGCTATCACCTTCTTGATAAGAATCTGGATACGGACTGATGCTTACAACTTGCAGCCACAGTAATTTAGTCGAGATCTTTCTCGTCAGCTAAGACACAGAAAGGTCATGACATGCGGTTACCATTAAACTTGCCCTTGCGAGTCTCTGATAGCAACTTTCTTGGTAGAAGATTGGAGAACTTCAGCCTAGCGGGAACACATCTTCTCAAGGCGAATGACAAACACGCAGAGGGCTTTCACTAATGTTACCAGTCTTATCAGACCACGGTCATTCTGCATGTGCATAAAATTGAATTGCAAAGTGAGTGAACTAACCATGAAATACGGACACATTTGCATTGTTCGTTTGCTATCTCTCAATGACCACGTAGCGAAAAATGCTGAATTTGTATAACACAGCGATCACCAGTATTTCAGGCGTTGAATCGCGCAGAATCAAGCGCATTTGGTGCCGCCGTCAATGAAGGCCAATCAGACCTCGCGGTTCCACATTAGCCAATCATTTGAGAGAAGGACTGATAGCCGGCCAATTAAGAAACCAATCAGAACCGTGTTTGCAACGACTAATAATGCGGCTCCAGTAGTGGTGTTTTGTGTGGGAGCTTCGCGTCTGGTGGTGGTTGCTGCAGGACTTTTCTCGTTCAAGTGAAGTGAGTTTAATTCAGTTGTTAACACCGCCTTTATTTGTGATCAGTAAAAGGACTTCATGTTTGTAGCATCAACAGTAACTCGATGCTATCTGAAACGGCCATTGGGATATTGACACACAGACAATCATGTAGCCCCAAAATGATTGTAATACCCAGAAATTATAGCCTTTCATGCTATTTTGTACAAATTACGTATTGGTTTTGTGGTTTACTGCTTCATTTCTTTTCTCCTTGGCTGCATCGTGGAACCAGGGGTCCCATGTTAATGCTTCATGCAGTTCTGCTTAATGCCAGGTTCATGCTCCAAAAAGCAAACTTAACTGGCTTTTGAGCCGGATTCATGAATCTCTCTTGATACTGACCCGTCGACTGGCCTACATAATGGGGTGTTTCTAGGCGAAAAATGTGTGCGCTGAATGTTCTTTCTGCAGCAAGCCTTAAATTATTCGTTGCTATTAATTTTGTCTCTATGGGGTTCCCAAAGTGTAGAGCAAAAAAGCGCACCATTGCACGCAGACGTACTGATAAGCTAAATACTCCCTTGAACAAGTTTTTTATTTTTCCCATTTCATGATTTATCATTGCCACGCCTTTTAGATAAGAGACTTGGATTTGCAGTATAATGCACTTATTCTACCTGTAGCCTTAAACCCATCATTTACAGACCAGGGTATTTTGCACACTCGACACACTTCGGAAAGTTTTGCAGTTCTGATACGCTTGCTGAAGTTGTCGACAGTTCTAGTTACCTATGTACACACAAGACGGTCGAAAAAAAGCGTCTCAATAACGGAAAATATGTTAACCGCCTTTCGCGTACTTGGAAGCTTCCTACTGTGTATTTTTCGACGTCTAGACGGACTGCCGTGGCGAGTAGGAGTTAGGCCGAAGCTTACTCCTCCTCGGTTAATTCTACTTGCCTTGCATTTGCTTCCTGAAAATACACCACAGAGCACCGCTCACAGGACTGCTTCTTAAAAGCCTCAACCCAGATTCCAGACACTTCAGGCTCGCGAGACCTCACAGTTGACGAAATACCACGTGCATGTGCTATGACTATGCCTTATTCTGATTAGTCAACAGGCAAATTGTGGACATACGAGTTAGCGCGGACGCACACGTTTTCCAACTTTCGTGGTCCCCGGAATGTCCAAAATGTGGGGCAGCGATCAGTCAACGAGAAAGGGGCAAACGGGAGGCTAAAAATCGCCGAAATTATCAAAGCTATTTTAGCAAACGCGGTAATTTTAAATTATAGGGGGTGGAAGGTCGACCCACTCTGAACCCGCCGTTCCACTCACCGTCATCCCGTTATTCTGCGTAGCAGTGACCTCGCCCAATTAAAGAGACATCATGGCTGGGTCGTCCTTACACTTTAGTTCATCATGGCTGCATTGTGGGGACGACAGCTACGTGCACATAAACACGCTGCAAGTGTAAACTGTCTCGGGCGGATGTTTACGGGGAGGTGTTAGGCGACATCGGCGACTCCATCGGGTCCTGGGTCTCCAATTAAGCAGGGAGAGGCCACGGTTGCTGTCACAGAGTGCATTAATACCGTATGGGAGTCTTCGATACAAAGTGGAGCACCGGCCCAAAAATTACTTGTTTGTTTATTTGAGTCAAAACCGGGGGCCTTTGGCTTGACCGATTTCAAGACATCCAAGGATGAAGTAGCCATGGCAGCCGAATGGCGACGGTCTTGCACTCCTTGGGAGGTCAGAGGCGTAGTAACTAGACTGACAAATATGCATTTGTCACCGTCAAATATGGTACATTAAATTATCGTCATTTAATCGAATAAAGTTGGCACATTTTAAGGTGGCAAAAGGTGCACCTTTTGTTGAATGAACTGCCTGCGGCTGTTCAACCTGATGACTGTACACTTGCGTTCACTGTCTGAGGACGATTACGAAACATCATTCTCAGATTATGCTAATTGACGTTCCCGAGTGTTACGAGAGAAAAGCATACCTCAGCACAGCCACAGTTGTACATTGTTCCGTTGTGTGCGCTTCGTTGTTATAGTTTCGATGATACACATGCTTCATTGTGATTACATGAAATTGCGTAAAGGATATGACGCATAGATCGGGATTTATCAGGAATAAGCAAATCGAATACTAAATCACTAATGAACATCCACCACATCAACTTCTAACAATATTTCATGACTAAGCTGACAAGACGACTTCAATAATAATCAGCTATTTTTAGAGGTTCCTATGTTTACAAGTGCACACCTTCGGGTATTTTCCACGGTAAATGACTTTGAGGGGTTATTTTTTGCGTCTTTAAACAAGATCTCTCATGTAAACTGAACTCTTACCCAAGTGATTAGAACCATCCAACATTTCTCGTGTTCCAAATGACCCATGCAAACCTTACTGAGTCTTGCGTTTGGATGACTTGCATTGGCTCACGGTGGTATTTCCTAATGGAAATCGGACAAAAAAAGTCCATTAAGCGCTGTTTTGTCATCTGCCTTTTGATGTGACGATGCTTCGGTCAATCTGGGATGCGGTAGACGGACGTTGGAATCGGAAATATCCATTACAGCGATTACAGTTTCGTTTTAAGTTTCAAATGACTAAGGGTGGATTTCATTTATTCAATGATACAAACCTGCAGTTGGGTTTGGAACATCAGAAAAGCAAAGTTTTGGTTTTTTAATTCAAGTAATTTATCTACATTTAAGTAATATTTTTAATTTTACGCGGGCTCACAGCGCCACTTCATGGTGGCATTCCCTCCTATGTCGTGAGCCGGTGTAAATAAAAATGATAAGGTCAAATCCGAAATTTAGACTATTTTTGAAAACTTGAACCACATATAAATGTGACTACTCTTCCTTCGTTGATAATATTTTTTAAAGTAATTTCCAAACATGTATCCCGTATTTTCAATCCCAAAATTGTAACAACCCTTTGATTAATGCCAAACACTGAAGTGTTAGGTTGATAGCTTAGACCTAGCTGAAGTAATGTGTCTCCGACGCCACTTTCAACGTTTTGTGGTTAGGAGATTATCGCACAAATGTTGGCAGTGATGGCTTGTGATTGTTTCCACTAGCTGCTTAACTTGAAACCATATCATAATGAAAAAAGTGGATTATATCAGGGCTGATGTCTTTGGTGACCACCAACAAACCACACAGCCAAGAGTATTCCGACGGGCTTATTTTGGGTAGCAAATGTTTGTCTGCAATGCGAGGTTTAAATTCACTGTTGACAAAGGCGAAAGATGTCTTAGGGCCTTTGTCGTGCAAGGTGCTGACAGCACCCCATTTTGAGATGACGGCATGCCCGGTTGGGGGAACACGTGGTGTTTACGCATGCGTCATGACTCCACACAACTATGATTGGTTTAAAGTGAAAGTGGAGGACCACGGGTTAGTGGACGTGCGCGCGGTGGCTAGGTGACATGGCTTCCCCAGTGGACAACGTGCCAGTTCGCTTGACGTTCGACCCGTGTACTCTTCACTTGGCAGCTTTTTAGCTGCCCTCCCGAAACTCCATGAATGCATCATTTAACGGGGGTGGACATTTTTTCGTCGTCTTAAACCATCTTATTACCCCATTGAAGCCGCAGTTGTGCGAGATTTAAGCAGTGCCCCGCTTTGTTGACTTCGGGGCAACTTCGTACAGCAACTGCCTAAATTGTGAGACAAGGACACTCAGACAAAGGTGTGCTGTCACCAAGTACCAACTTGGCTGAACCTATGATTATGCCATGTAAATTACACATTCAGACAGCCTTGCACATTCAGACAGTTAGCTTACACGTTTTCACTAGATGGTCATTGTTATAATTCTTCATGAGATGTTTCTCACGATTTTGGTGTTCTTTGATAGCAGTGTTTTCTAGATTTCTCACGATTTCATTTTTGGGTGGAACAACGCATATGACATTACTGCTGGTTTTTTCAAACAGCCTTTGTCTGGCTTGATTTAAAGGATTCACAAAGGTTCATCTAACAGCACTTACGACTAAACTGCCAGTTTTCTACTTCTTTCTAGCACATTCGTACTTTTTTGGGAGAGAACTAGCACAAAAAACAAGGGCCATGGTCAATGCGTCTTTAGAGCAGTGGACATGAAAACGAAGAACTACTAGTGTATTAGTGCATTTCTAAAAAAATGATGGGCACTCGAATTTATCAAAAGAATATTGCCGTAGCAAGTCAGTAATGTCGCATACTTCTATTAACTCCTTCTCTTTCAGACAAGCCGCATCTCCGTTATTAACTCGCAAACCCAAAAATGGTTGGAATAGAGTTCATTGACTACTTGTCGAAGCTACGTGTGAACGATTTCCTCGGAGTAGAGGATTTCGCGGATAAGATGAGCTTCATGTACTCGGTTTTGATTCTGTTGCTGAGTACTACAGTCATCGCGGTTAAGCAATACTTGCTCGCCAGCATTGCTTGCTATATACCCACAGTGCCGTCTGGGAAGGACTTTGATAAGTTTTTGCAAAATTTTTGTTGGGTTCATGGAACAATTCCCCTTTTGGAAGGAGAACACATCCCTCAAAATTACTCGGAATGGCATGAGGCTGACCAAAATTTGAGGATTAGTAAGTTTGGAGCTCAAGTCATATGTTAAAAAAGTGTGCACTCACAACTGATAACCCAACTCCTAATAGATCAAATTAGTGGAATGCTGGATCGTCGGCGTCTAATGTAGCCAAATTGGATCGGCGTTTTATAGTTCCACAAGAATTTACCGTACTCATTTATGTTAATGTGCATTTCATTTGTGTTCTTTCCGCAAGATGGTAAAATCCTTGCTTTTTATACTTATATTGGCTACGAATAATCTGTTACAGTAATGTCGACAAGATGGTAGCTATTCTACTTGGAGTTCACGGTAAATCAAAGCACCGGAGGACCGGAGAATGGCCATAAGAGGTCAAATACGGGGTGTAAACTTTCTAAAGTGTATAATTAATACTATCGTGAAATTGACAAATTTATAACTTTGGTAGGAGATTTTCCTTCGAGAAAATATGTTTACCATCTCGGAGGTTTTTTAGTATCCACGCACGGAATTAGTCTGTTTAAGTTGAACAAAGACTCAGAACCGATTTTTTTAAAAACCCTGTACCGATGTGCTTAGTTTAATTAAATTCCCTGTGTTCCTTACATTGGTATTTTAATTTTAGACTACTATCAGTGGGTACCTTTCATGCTTGGTCTGCAGTGCATCCTTTTCTACATCCCACGCGTCGTCTGGCAGATCATCTGTTACAACCGCACGGGAACTGACCTAGAACACCTCGTCACCGTTGCAAACAACGCGAGTAATACGATTGAGAATGACCGCAAAGGACTCGTTAAACATGTCGCTGCAACAATGGAGGAGATGCTCTTCCAACACCGTGACTATCGCCACGGAAAAGTGGCTGATGCCCGCCGAAAGGCTTTCAAGCTGTGTGGAATGTTTGTTGCTAGCAAGCGTCTTGGAACGTGGCTCATCTTCACCTATCTTTTTATCAAATGCATCTACTTAGCAAACGCAATCGGCCAGTTGTACCTAATGCAAACCTTCCTTGGTTTCAATAAGTCGATGGGTAACTTCGGCTACGAGGTAGCAAAGTATATGATTGAAGGTCGTGACTGGGACGAGACAAGGATATTTCCTCGTGTCTCCTTTTGCTATCTTGAGCATGTTCGCCATCTTGGCACAACAAATCGGTATGTGGCTCAATGCGTCCTCCCCGTGAATATGCTAAATGAGAAGCTCTATATCTTCTTGTGGTTCTGGACGGCTATCGTTGCAGTCTGTACGGCTATTTCAATCCCACTTTGGATTGTACGCCTGGGTCGCGAGAAAAACAGGACCCACTTCATCAAAAAGTTCCTTAGACTTCAGGAGATATATACCACCGAAGACAGGGAAATTTTGCACAACTTTATTTGCGACTTTTTACGTCACGATGGCGTCTTTTTGCTGCGCATGATTTCTATGAATGCTGGTGACGTTGTGACTTCTGATGTGGTTGTTGAAATGTGGAATATTTACAGAACAAAGTACAAGAACAGGACCATGCTGAATGACATTGCACGTGATATTATTGCTCAAAGACTGCTTGAATCGGGTGGTGAGACTACCCAGCGTAGAGTGCCGTACGAGAAGAATTCTGTCGTCTAGGCCTGATTTGATTGATGAGAACGCACCTGAAACAGATACTAAGCTCAAACCCAATGGCTCAGTATTTTTCGCTAACATTTATACCATTTGTTGGAATGATTATTTCATAAGACTACATTCCCTCTTGTCCCTCCTAAGTGGTCTGATTTCTGATAGTTTTCAATGTCATACAACCCGATTTGTACATTTTTATGTAGCCGAATAAATGTGCTTGCTAATTCGAAAATCTAATTTTCTAAGTGTATGCCTGCCACAAATGGGGTCATATCTGATTTGTAACGTAGGCATTACAGTTTCAGAATAAGGATAGGTTGACTTCAAAAAAAGTCTGATAGCATCCCATATTAGCTGTCTGCATCATGTTCACAAAGTGGAAATTACGGATAACTGACGTTTTTCGATTAGTGGATGTTTGCTCAACTAGCTTTACGGCCAATGTTTCACACGGTTACACGTGCCTCGGGCCACGGAGTCGTGAAGGACAGGCTTCAAGACTAATAATTAAATCTGGGCGGTAATTAAGATTTTGATAACTTCGCGGATGATAGCGCCACATAAAATGAATGTTGTAGACGACAATTCACATTTGAACATGTCATTAAAATTGGACTTGATGCTATGTGGGTCTTTTTAAAGACAGGATTTTATGTGGTAGGCATGGATTTAACATGTACTGGTTTTAGCTAAAAATATTGACTCGGTGTAACACATAATCTCACATCGTTTTTCAGCTAATAGGCCCTGCCAATTTTGCATTTATAGAAAGCAGAACCATTGTGAAGTGAATCACCATGTCTCAACTGGGATCAGATTTTATGAACTTCTACCAGAAGTATCAGGTGGCCACACTCATAGGTATTCAGGATTGGGCCGACCGCATGAGTTATGCGCACAGCACCATCATTTTCCTATTGTGCACGGCTATCGTCTCAGCAAAAACCTACATCCTGTCGCCCCTGGCTTGCCACGTGCCCACTGTTCCATCGGGCTCGGATTTCGACTCCTACTTCGACTCCTATTGCTGGGTGCATGGAACTACGCCGATTCGCATGAACGAGACCATTCCAGAAGATGATGTCGCCTGGACTGAGTTTGAAAGAGAAAGGAAAATAAGTGCGTACACCACAAACAATTATGCAGAAAATTGTGGCAGTCGATTTAGGAGGCAGCTTAGCCATCAATCCTTCTAACGTTCTGGTTGACGAGCTCAATGTGGTACTTGTCAGGTTCTCTTACAAAGACTGGTGTCAACTTTATTCTCATGGAGGGTCATGGATTTAATGACGCACTAGGGTGGGCCAAAAGTGAAGTAAAATCAATTTTCTTTTGCAGCAAGATTGTTTCAATTCAATTTACGAATTCAATTATTGCGTGTGGTGGTAAATTTCTATGGTGGCGTACGAGAACTTTACTCGAAGGAAGATTCTCCACTTTTCAGCGTACTACCAATGGGTTCCGTTCATCCTGGGGCTTCAGACTATCTTGTTCTACTTGCCTCACGTCGCCTGGCAAAATATCACCTTTAATCGCCTTGGAGCGGATCTCACGGCTATAATCGTGAAAGCGATGGATGCTCTGAAGACAACGTCGCCATCCAAACGCGAAACAATGGTCGCAAATGTGGCCAAACGACTTGAGCTTCTACTGTTTGCCCATCGTGACTTCCGACGTGGAAAGAAAGCTGCTCTTAAACGTCGTCTCCACGCCGCGTGTGGCATTTTTCTGGTCAGCAAACGAATGGGTGCGTTCATTGTCTTAATTAAATTTTATATTTTTTTTCCAAATACCGGGACATTTAATAAGTTTTCAATTCTCTAAGGTCTTTTTTCTTAGCTGGGAGACCTAATTTTATTTGAGGAGCCCAGAAGGTGGCTGTACAACTTAACAAATCGCTTTTATTAAAAACTCGCGCCATGTTTGTTTCACGGATTTTCGAGTGTGTCTGTCTGATGTACCTTACAAATTCAAATTTTTTGTCCGCACGAAGCTGAATAAGCACGGAACATTGTGCATTCATTCGGTAGCTATTTCAATTAGACTTCCAGACGTTCTTCATCAGACTAGGAACCATACACGGAAGCATTTAGAGTTCCAGCATTAATTTTAATTTGATATATTCCATCAAACATTTCCGAAGAAATCAAACTTGGAAAGGATATTGATTCAGCTTCATATGTTGTAATGGGTCATCCATCATCTGCTAAGAATTCATCCGTCACGATCGTAATTAGGGCGATCCCACACAAAGTCATTTACAAAGATGTCCCGTGGTTGGTGACAGTCAAGGAAACCCATTTGGGTGTCCTGGTTGCCAAACTTTATGGCATATTGGGTCTTGAAAATCTTAAGTGTCTCATTGTTTACAGCGCAAAACGTGATGGATCAAAATTTTGGCTTAAACCAATCAAAGTCGCTAATGTGATGTTTCACTCCGTATATCTGCATTGCATTTGGGGATGTTACGTCAATGTTGAGCTCCGTTATATTAAAGTGGGTGTTTGTCACCAGACCACTTTCGATGAATTCCGACCTTGTTAAACACACTCGGCGAATGCATTAACAAACTTATGTTGTAACCAATGAAAGGAGAATTCTGCAACACTTTCCTTGCGTGTTCACCAGGGTCGAATTGTGAACTTTTTTCTCTGCTTTTCGACGAGGTTCACACCCTCACAATCGATGACACGATAGTTGTCAAGTCCATAAGGATAATAAACTGTAAGGCTGAGTGCAACACGACTCCTTATTCCAAAAAAGTCCTAGCAATATTCACTAAATAAACAAGCTCCACTAGCACATTTACGAGCAGAAGCCCGAATGACCGATACTTTGTCTACTTTTTTTTAGGAACCTGGACCGTCTTCTCTTATCTTTGTATCAAAATTCTCTACCTTGTAAACGCAGTTGGTCAACTCTACTTGATGAAGCATTTCCTTGGCTATGGAGAGGATATGGTTGGCTTCGGTCTGACAATTGCCCATTCCCTGGTAGCGGGAATTAAGTGGCGTGAGTCCCTTTTCTTCCCCCGTGTTGCCTTCTGCAGTGTCACAGTTCGCCACCTGGGTCAGAAAACTAATCGTTACATGGGCATGTGTGCGCTAGCTATCAACATGTTAAATGAGAAGCTTTACGTCTTCCTGTGGTTCTGGACCCTCGCAGTTGCTATAGCAACGTTTGTCAGCCTCATCAACTGGTTCCTTCGCCTGGCAGTCAGACGACGGCAGGCTAGTGTCATCCGTAAGTACCTCAAGTTGGCCCCGATCGTTGACAAGCCAGAAAAGGAAGGTAGCATTACCCCACTTTCCCTTTCTGAGAGTTTGGATCCAGGACGGCCAGACACAGTGGAACGCTTCATCCACGAATTCCTTCGACTGGATGGCGTTTTTATTGTTCACATGCTCACTATGAACGCAGGTGATGTAATCACTGGAGAGGTGATCCGTCTGTTGTGGCACACTTGGGTAACAAAATATGCTGATAAGAAGGACTTTGGCAACGATCCTTGGATCGAATTTGAGTATCCAGAGGAAGAGGAGATGGACGAAATCGACAAAGCGAAGATGGAGTTAGCAGAAAGGGAGAAAAGCCTCTAGTAAAGGATTCTGTTTTTGATTTAAACTCTTGACTATATACGCATCTTGTGACTTTTGTCGACCGCTGCGTAATGTGTATTGGTGACTTATAGATGTCTGACAATCTACAACAAACGATTTCGACGAATGCCTTTCTGTAATAATAAATTATGTGCAGCGGTTAAAACAAATAAACTGGTCCTAGTTTCATTCATTTTTGTTAACCTTGAACATTTTCTAATTGAGGCTCGCACTTGATCTCTCATCTGATCTCAGTACCTAGATGCATTGAAGATTTGGTAAAAATAAACTTGGTAGACCTTGCTAAACGAAGTCCTTGATAGCTTTACTTGTGGTCTTTTTGCCTATTCGTGCTCCTGTAGCTCTCAACGCGGGTCCGAAATTGTTGAAATACCTTCGCTGAGTGGTTCTTGCTCATTAAGACTGTAGAAGTCGTCTGAGTAGTTAGTTGAATGTAATCGCAGGGATATGCTTGTTTTACTGCGCTTCTGATAGATTGTAGCCTTCGTATTTGATCACTTAATAGTGATTAAAATGATACTATGGGCAAATCCAGCAATTCGGCCGTTTGCGCATTACCTGCTATCTGTGTTGAGTGTTTATCTGTCAGTTCCGCTAGCTTGCTAAAGGGAAGAAGCTCTGTGCAGTGGTGCATTGATTTCCCTAGACTGGAGACACCTGTCAGATTTGCTGAATTACTGATTGATATTTTTCGCTTTTGATGCAATTGAAGACATCGCATCCCAGACGTCCTAGTCCACCTTTATTTGTTTTCTGAATCTGCATTCTTTCTTAAATAGTATTAGTGGCTGAGTAAATAAAAGGCAAGTGAGTAAACACAAGTCGCATGAAATTGCACATTAATATGTATGGCTTTGAATGCTCTTGAAACCCTGCAAATTTGTCTAGTGGTAGCGATGTAATCTAATGAGTAAAGTAGCACTAAGATCAGTCGCTGAGTAACTTCACAGATATTGATTGTAGCTTAACACCACAGCAGTAGCAAAGCGAGCCGTCGATGTAAAGACGCATTTTGGTCTCCTATTCTGTAATTTCGAAACTGCCTACGATGGCTAGAGTGTGTTTATAGGAGAAATATATAATTGGTTTTAAGAACCAAATAAGATTAAATTTATCCACATTTTCTACGCTCACTGCTTTGTGCCTTCTCTGAACGCCAAACATTACCCATCGGTGTCTACTTTACAACTAGTTCAGACGAGCAACGGCGCTTCACTCTGTTAGTGCGCCGTAGCCTTCGGCCATCCCCGAATAGATATCCATTCCAGACTCAGCTGAATCCAGTCGACGTGAATTTCCACGGTGGCATAGAACACACGCCTGCTTTGGACGAGATTCAGAATCGACCAATGAGAGGGACGACCACTAATTGAGCGGTCAAGGCTTGGCTGCTATGAACTCACGCGTGGAGGATCGTCCCCAGTTAAACTAACGTGTTAACTAAAACACGTTTTGACTTGACTGTGTGATAGGTGTGTTTGTAGTTTTCACGGATTGGACAAAGGTCTGTGAGGTCATCTTGCACTTCTGTGGTGCTCTGCATTGAGAGCCCACTCCTCAAGTCTAGCTCAGAATCAATTTCGTTTAATCAAAGACTGCAGATGAAAATACTGAACACGAAGGAAAGCAACTATGGTGAGCAGACAGGGACTTCGGGCTCTAGAATTTAAAAACGACAATGCTTTTTAATTTTAAACGACCAGCGACTCTAGAGTCTGGTTGCATTGGCGGTTTTTTTCGGTGTGACTTAACGAGAAGAAGCATAATGAAACTATCCGGATATTGATGCATTACCCCACCCCACCAAATTATAACAAAGTTATGAATTTGAGTGACCTTTTAAAACACATCTTGAGGATGGTGATTGCATCGACACAGTCGACTGCTGGCCGTGTTTTTTACAACCGGTGGTGCTTTTAGGGAGATATGGCATCCTCAATAATTGTAGTTTCAGTAAGGAACGGCAATTTATTTATCCGTAGTGAGAAGGCAAATGTATGGCAATTACAATACTACATTCCAATTTTGCTATTTCAAACCTCTGGTTTTTGGCCATTGAGCTTTTTCGGAGGTTCTCGTAACATTTGGGCTTGCCTAGGGACTTCAACTAGCAAAGCTAGTCCTTATTGGAGGAGCAAGGAAACTCATGCATGCGTTATGTCCCCTCAGTACTCCACAGCTAGACATCAAATGTATGGCTCGTTACCGCAGTAATTTCCTCACAATTTTCTGTGCATTTGGCGGAATGAGAACGGTCGCAATCACTACTACCCCCTGAAGCAATCAAGCTGGACTTTGACCGCATCCGAAGCCCTACTTAGCAGATAACTGGGTAGAATAATACAACAGGGATGTGGACAAGCAATGGTATAAAATAGAACTGAAGTTTGCAAATTCTCATTCGCCGATTTACCCTCTTTAGCACATAGCTTGAATTTATTTTTCCCGTTCTTGTGAATTTGTGGACATGTGATATGATTAATGACCGTTTGATAAACGTGGATGCTTAAACTAACAACTTGGGGTTTGCTAGGTATGCATGTGTGCACCTGGTTGATGACTATCTCAAAATGCTGGCAGCTGATGAGTTCGTCTTGTGGACAATACAAGTGAAAATATCTTGTTGGCTTCTTTTGTTTCAGCTACTGAAAATCAACTTAGCGTCTCCTGCAGGGTCAGCCTAGTGAACGTTTGGGCCACAATTTAAGAAAAGGGTCACAGTTAGAAGTACACCGAGGCATAGCCTTTACTCCGGACACCTAAGGCAGTGTAAAAAGCACTACACTGTGTAAGATGCAGCATTATTTTATAACTTGAGTAAGCCACTTGTGGGAAGTTGAAAGTACTCGACCAAATCAGGGTGATCAGATAATTTATGAGCAAAAAGGGGAGAGGCAACTCACAAGTAGGCGAATGAAGGACCAGGCGCAAACGTACGGATGTTAAGCGTTCATCGCTTGAATTAGGAGCCTCACAGTTTCAGTTTCATGGAAAGAAGGCGCATGATGGTGACTAACCTGAAATAGACGAATGGACATTGTATGTTCTAGACATCTATTCGGGGGGGTAATTTTACGTTAGTCCTTCAGGCAATTCTGACTTCATTAGGACCCTTATACTTCTGCGTGGAAAACTCATCTTTTGAATTTTCGACTTATAGTATTTGTTGTTGTGAGTCTAACAGTGGCAGTTTGAGTCTATGCGCTGTGTTTACACACGGAGTCAATGAGACTTTGATGCAGTGGAAAGCCAACTCAATGAATCATCCTTGGGCATCCAGATGGAACTGCTATTCTATGGACGTCGCTGCTTAGTTTCTGGACCAATGGTAAATCATTTGCTGAAAACCATTCACCGATGAGTAATAGCGCCATAACACGTGACAATATATAACCGATGTTATAAACCGACAAACCATATTTAACAACGTATTTATGCAAAAAAACCACCAGACTTTCATTGAAACTCCATAACTTGTCATCAGTCTTTTAATTTGTTGTATATTTTCTTAAGAACTTGCATATATATATATAATACCTTCATCGAATTCCTCCGTTTCCTATTGATGCTTTTTTAACACTTTAAAACACTGTTATTCATCTACCTGGCATTTTCAGTCCATAGCAACCCATTTGCTCTAAAAGCACAGTTGAGATGGCTATTTCATTATTTTAAATCCAATTTTCACCTAATTTAGCCGTGGATGCCTAAAACACAGGTTGGAGCAGTGCTTTTGGTCATTGCCAAATGTGGGAACAAGCACATGTCCTGTCTGCCACTTATTGGGAGATTATGTCCTGGTTATTTTCCGTTCTGGCTGCAGAGCCACTACAGTGTTTTATTGTTTGTGTAATGCTTTATTTGACTATTTACCACCATATTTTTTTGCTTAAGAACTTCCAATTAAGAATCATCCTCACATTTTAAATCTATAGTTTATGACCATCTAGAAGCTGAAATCTTTTGCCTGATCACGACTGTTTATCTGGCTATGCCGTCGGAAGGGTTTTCAAATAATACGCTATTGTCAATCATTGGATTTATTATTTTTGCAAAACCTATTAGCTATAGACGACGAACGACTGCTAAAATATAAGTTGATTACTTTCATGCACTTCCTTTGTTTTTAATTAGTGACTTGGCTACACACAGCTGCCGAGACATGTTCAATTGTCATGGGTTTTTTTAGGAATTCGGAATTCCCTTAGGCAACTCAAGCCATTACACTCAGATTCGTGACTTTTTTATTTACTCTGTTCTGTTCACACGATCGCACTATTGACAAAATGGCAGAGATAATACGAGTCACACCCTATTTATGCTCACTCTACGGTTCTTCAATTAGTGTTAATCACACGCCTTATCTGACCAAGATTGTCCAAGAATATACAAGTGTCGCATTTCACCATGGTCATTGACCATTGTCCACCTGTTTTTGTTTTCTCTGCACGAGGTCACGTCTTCTGTACCGTGCTGGGAAGGTGGTGATTCACTCCCATGCAATTTATTCGTGTACTCGCACTCGAGGTGTGTGCTTCTGCCATCGCTAATCGTAATGCACTTGCAAATGCACATGCGTTTTAAAGAACGATTTTCAAATCTATTAGGTAAAAGGTTTTACCTCCTGAATAAAGGGGAGCCAATACGCAGGCAAAAAAAGCCAGGGCTTCTCGATATGAAAAAAGTACAACTTGTGAGAATCTATATTTTAATGCGAAATTATGAAAGCAAATGGGCTATTTTGGGTCCAGTAAAGTTGAGCCTATTAAACCACGAATGCTATTGGTCATTCTGTCGATTTCTGGGCAAAGCCAGGTACAGGTGGTGTCAGTCCTGCTTATTTAGGCTATTACATTGATAAACGACTTCCAGACAAAATTGTAGGTTTTATGATGACGCTAAGTGGCATCACATCGGCAATTCAGAGAAAAGAATCACCAGTGTTGGTAAGTCGAACGGCCAGTAGACAGAAGTGCGGCACATCAGTCTCGAACTCGAATGGAGCTCTGAAGAAGAAGGCTTGATCGCCGCATTGTCACAGCGAATACCCAGAATTCAACTACCTTTCTTACTTCCTTTACGTTTCCAACTCTGCAGATTTCAGACCCTAGGGCGGCATGGTGTCTTTCTCTTGGTGGATGACGGTTAAGGTAGTAAAAGCTCAAGGGGAATTCATTGCATGACCTTAATATCATAAGTTCCCCGGCACAACTACCAACCGATGTATCTTTGGGCTTTCTGTTCCGAGTAAACATTTTCTCGACTCAGAAGAAAGTTAATACACTCTCGACCTTGCAGTTCATTTCTTTTCCCTTATTAACATCCGGTTACTTTCAAGAACTTACAAATAGTTACTTAAATGATTGCAACTGGTGCTGCATCGCAAATAAAATTAGGTTTCATTTGTTTTTTACTTCTTACGTTGTGAATGAGTACACTTCGTTTCATGTTTTTGATTATATGGACGTTTATTTTTTTGTAATCTTTAACCTAGTTCCTAGTATGGTACGAAAAGCACTAACTATTCCGTGTTTTATTCCAAGGAATAGCTTATAGTGTTTTACACGTTTGATCATGCAAGCGCGTTTAAGTGTTCATATTTAACAGGTGCATAAACCTTCCCAGATTGTTACAAATTTAGAAATGACGTCAAAACGATATTTGAAAGTTTATTGACAGAGTAACTTTGTAAAATACAAGTGTTTCAAGCATGTAAAATATTCAAGGTAAAACGGCAGCCTAGCCTAGATTTACGTGTTGCGCTCCTCGAAGTTTGTTGATAGACTCAGGCAACTTCCGATTGTATAGACTAATTTCAAGGTAGAGGCAGTTCGGCTGTTCCACTATCGTCTTCGAATTTAGGGGTGGCGGACTTGAAGTGGGACAACTTAGTAGGTGACGTCAATGTGCGAAAGAAGAGCTATTGTTCATTGAACTCATTTTCGGAGGAATCTAAGATATTTATATGCCGACTGCCGAGACTGAAGGCATTGATTTCTTGTCCGAGATTAAACGAGAAGCCTCAAAAGTTCAAATCCGAACAGTCAAATTTGCCAAAATGAAATGTCCTCTTAAAGTATGATTAGGTCTCCACATGTCAATCCGTCTCTCTTATAGAAATCAAGTCGAATTCCCTTAAAAGTTGATAAAATCATAAGCCAATCTGTAAATCCAATAAGACCAAGCAGTTTTATCTTGCAGAAAGGGATTTAAGCTAATTTTCTAGAACCAATACAGGACCCTAAATTAATCAAATTTGAACACTTAAAATATATGACACGAAGCCACCGCTGTTTCTTCTCTGAGCTTCTCAATAGGAGACCAATTGCCCGCATGGTACTAGGGCATTTAGTACTATGCTTACAAAAAGTAAGTGGAAGGACATGATGGGAAGGGTGATAAGATTATCAAAAAAATTGCAGTGAAATGCGACACAAGATGTCAAAATATGACCTACCGAGATTAGGTAAGCCTTAAATCAGTCAGTGTTTTAACATAGCTTTATTCACTTTAGTGTTTGAATATATGCGCATCTATTTATTCTCCTGATAGTACTTTAAAAAATAACTTACTGATATGGCAAAAACTGTTTACGGTAAACGAAATCGGAGCCACACTTGAAAAGAAACCTCTTCCTATCCTGGTCCCATAACCTGCTTAAATGTAGGCGTAGGTCGAGGATGATGGTAGCTGATCATTATAGGCACATTGCTTAGAATAAATTCAGCTTTCATAGTTTTTGATGGTGTGATAGCTTGGTCAAAGTGAGTAAAAAATGGTGTAGCACAACTTAATATAATTATCCAAAGTGTTGACAGCACTTACGCTTTCTCGTTCAGGCATTCTGCAACAGCATGCGAGATCCTAAACACTGCGGTGGGCGAAACCCTTGCTGTACTGACTTCAATTAATGGGTGAAGATAGTTAAGAAATAGGACAACGTACAACTTCAACCAGTGTTTTCAGTAATAGTTTATTCATTTGTTATTCAAAGGCTCAAGTAAACTTCGGGCTTTACCGACCCACACTGAAGCACCATTAAGATGCAACATCTCCATTTGAATGGCAATGGTTTTAAGCAAAATCACTTATCTGGGCAGCAGCTAAGTTTCAAAATTAATGTTGTCTTTTGTTTGCCTAAAAGTGCTGGCCATAGTGAATCACAAGCTGTAGATCACGCGCGATAGCCCTACAATTGTAACATAGATAGACGCTGAATTTATTTTAGGAATTTCAAGTCAGTACGCCTGCTTACTTAAACATTTTACTGAATGAAGGGTGAAAGGAAATACAATGACATTGATTTAACTACAATTTCGACACAGTTTTCACCTTTTCTACAATTTTAAAACGCTAAAACTTCTCTAACTGGCACTGCCTTTTCAATTTTTACAAGAAGGAAATCAAATTTGGCTAACTTGAGTAGCTAAACCTATCGTCCGGATGTAATGTAAACTTCACACGGTGTCGGATGCCTTAAATGCTCCCTGGTAGTAAACACTGGGTACTGGTGTTTTACATTCCTTGTCAGAACAGGTTTTCCAATTTTTTTCTCCTGCTAACACGAAACAGGCGTGCTACCAGGCCTTCTGTATTCAGTGCGATGCAGGATCTTTTACAAGTCCCCTGTGCTACTGAAAGGCAGGATGAGCGTCCCTGGGGCCGCATCGATAGTCTTAGATTTCATTAGCGCTTCACGCTTCTGCGGAGCGAGTAGTTTACTTCCACCTTGGCTGATATAAGGCTGTCCACGAGGAATAACTAGGTACTTAGATAAAGCATCATTGCCATTTAACTATAACTAGTCCCTTTGCAAGCATAGATTCATATTCTTTTACCACAAGCACAAAACCTTCGAAAGAATTAGTATTTATGCAACAGAAAACCAGTTTAGATACTCTGTGAGATATGAAAATCGAATCCCAAATAACAAACCGACTTGTTTCAGAAACAAAACCTTGAATTTTTGACTGGATCCTTGGTATCAAGTCTTTTGAGTGTTACGCGAACATTTACCCTTTACATGAGAATAAAGTGAAATTACGTTATTTTCAGCCCAATTTCAACATGCAATAAGGTGTAAAAAACTACCTTACGTAGTTGCGTGCATAGATATCAAAGATATTTCGTCACTACATTTCCTAATGTTGTTTCATGGGAACCTCGAATCAGCAAGTTCTATAAAAAAGAGCATTGTTTGCTTTACTCAGCCAAGCTGCGCTTTGCGCCATTAAATCTGGTAATCAGAAATACTCGGTTGAGGATATTGTAACATTGGGCATTTCACTTTATCAAGCGGACCGAAGGAACGGTTTTTGGCAGCAAATGATCATTGGTTGCATTGGGATTGGGAAGTTATTTTCAAGCTATGAATCATTTTGAGATTTACACAATGACTGAATACAAAACTCTCTTGTTTCTTAGTTACAACAAGATATGTTGTAAATATGAACTACCTTAGAAATGCAGTAAGGACGTGGACAAATACACATCCATGTTTTTAGTTCGATTCCCTTACCGCCTATTGTGGCCATGAGTTGTCGGCGAGTAGGGTAGTTTACGTGTCGTGACGCCGAGCACGCAATTGTCTGAATTATTTCTGAGATAACTATGTGAACGATTTCAATGAAGCATAACCGACAAAAGGGCATGTCAAAAGTTATTCCTTGCTTTCGGTCAGTCACAATCAAGGAACCCTATTGCTGATGTATCAGTGGCTACTTTTGGTTTTTATTTTGACCGTGAAAAGATTAGTACGAGTGCGCTTTGGTGCAGGCATGAAACTTAGATACTCTCTGGTCCTTCAGCCAAGAAAATACGCATCCAGTTGTAGACCTCAAAGTTAATCAACGAGATGAAAAAATGGCAAAAATGAGACCATTTGGGTGGTCTTATTTGGAGCATTTGTTAATTCGAGGGTTGAATTTTGCAGGTAAGATTTTTAAATGGCTGCTTGAAACATCCATCAACAGGTAAAACTTTTCGTAAGTTTTTTTTTCTTGAACATTAATTGAACTTAAAAAGGAAACGAATCCGCACAACAGAAATTTTATGATTTACTGATACCAAATTATTAAGATGGCCGCAAAATTCAAATCACGAGCCCCACAATGATCCCTACCTAAAGAGAAAACCAAACATTCCTATTTGCTATACACTCATCCCACGATAAATCGCTCGATTACGAGGGAAGTCTTACAAGCTGATTGGCCAGGCTCCGTAACGCCCAATCACTTGTGCCCAAAACATTGAGTTCCGGGCAAGCAGTCATCCCGTCTCTCTCCTTCAGCCTGCATTCTTTTATTGGCCTGCATTCTTGTCACATTGCTCTTGCTAATATGTTGACATTTTTAGCTCTGTTCGGTCTTTTAACTGTTGCCTGTGCCATTCCCGTACAAAAAGACGATGAGAGATTAGAGGAAATGATAGAACAACTTTATGGAAGGCTGATGTTTCTGAGAGCCAAACAAATCTTGGAGGAGCTCGAGCAACAAGCCGAACTGGATGCTGCGAGTGTAGAAATGGTTCAGCTGGAAAATCAACAAAAACGCGATCAGATAGCAAAGGAAGTACAACAACTCCTAGCACTGAAGCATCTTTTGCGTGAGCAGGAGCCTGGGGAAACTGACGAGCCACGGTTTAACCGAGACCGTCGGGTGGCTGCATTACACAGACTCTTGAAAGAAGGCGCATCCACTGCAGACGTGGATGAAGAAGCCCTGCAAAACTACATCGAACATTTTCACAAAACCCTACACAATCCCAACGAGGTAGAGTAAATTACATTCTTGGTCTTGATATTTTTTTTCTTCGTGGCACTTTAAAATGTGGCATAACTTACCTTTAAGTAAACGTGAATTTGTGGAAATATCACTGAGTTGCGTTGGTGATTCAGCCAGGCTTTTGGTGACTTCCAATTATGGGAAAAAATTTTCCACAATGACAACAACGTCTTTAACTAAGATTGACAGAGGTGATTGGAATTTCTATGTTCGTGAGTAGGGGAATCGTCTCGAGACCTCAGCGTTTATTTCGACATTCTTTTCTCTCATGTGTCAGCAAAAGTGTTGTCTTTTACACAAAAGAAACTTTTGCAAGTGCTTAGAGCCTCTCGCGGGCATCTATTAATGTAATGTAACCAAAACACTTCTACAATGATTAAACAGTTAAGTCCTCCTGCCTTTTAACAGTTGCCGATCCCTCAATTTTAGCTGACAATAGTACGCATAGGGGACCTGTAACTGGCTTCAGAATGATTAGCATGGTAAATTTTTTGACTAAATTAACAACGTAAACGATGCTAACTTCTCGGATATGCAAACAGCTCTTTTACTTACACTCGTCTCTTTGGATAACATTTCGAGTCGGGATGTGAAGAGGCACCACAGTGTATTTAATTTTGTGTAACTCGAAAAAATGAACAACTGAACCCACTGAACACGAAATGTCCCCTGGTGCTTCACCTCCTCAGACCACCTAAATCATATTATCACACTACTAAAGGTAGGTTTAGGCTGATGTAAATGGAAAAACGTTGTAACGTGTTTTGCTGCAAAGAACTCTATGTGTGAATCAGAATACGTATTCGCATATGGCCAAATTCTCCAATAAACTTGATTGATGGGGTAAGTACCACTTACATGTTTATTATAGATTCACATTCTAATTTAATTAAATAGAAATGCCATAACTTATTATCAGAGCTCATTTCATGTTTCTTATTATGCACTCGAATGCATGGAGACACACCCAGTTACATTACTAAATCACATTTTATACCACTTTGCCGATCCAGGTGATTTTGTTTTAGAATACTTGATTTTGTCCATGGTCACATTGGGCAATACTAACCCTCCTGATGATCATTTGAGGCCTTCTGAGAGTGATGAGTTAATGAATGATCAAAAACACTTTCAGATTGTAAGTTAGCTCAGTGTTAATTCATTGTCATCCAAAATAGGAAATGAGTCATATAAATCTCCCATTGTCTTGACAGAAATTTGCGTATAGAATGACGACGTTGTGACAGCCTGTACACGCTATTCAAAACATGCACAAAACGTGGATGTTTAGTGTTCTCATGGCATTACCATACTAATACCCTCAGTTTACGTAATAATTAAATTGGAAAGAAGACGCATCTGAGTAATGAATTGCTATATAGTGCAGACTTTTCTCTAGTTATCTATAACACCATGGAACATGTTTACTTCCGGGGTGTTACAGTGCCCGTTAGGACTTTTTAAGTGACAACCTCACTCATGCCGATTGTTTACATGTGCGTACGAACAGTACAAAAAGAACCATGTGTGTATTTTATTTCGCTAGCGCTGATTCCGTGCTAGGCGTGTTACAGAGGCAGCCTATTACCAAGCTGATCTACTAACTACTTTACTGTGCAACGTCCAATGGTTATAAATGTTAAAAAAATAATGAACAAAATCTGTCTTCGTAAGGATTAATGCAAGTTATTTGTGCATCAAAAACTTAAATATTTTTGAGACAGAAAATCTGTTTCAACAAATTAATGATTGTAAAATAAACCATTAATCTCAGCTATCTATTAACACTAACACATGCGAAAAGAAATGTAAAAAAATGTTCATGTTCGTGTTGAATCACTAAAAGAGAAAAATCGGTAATCATGCTAAAGATAAGTATTAGCTGTCTGGCAAAACACTAGAGTATATTTTAATAAGAAATATGCTAGCACAGACTGATATACATGAGCTATTTGCATCCCTCTCTTCAGTTGTCCATAATACTGGTTTAATAAGGTGCAGCGAAATCGGGCGCATTTTAGGTTGTTAGAGGAAATTGCCACTTGCTCATTAAAGCATAAATGGCTTGTAGGGAAGAATGAACAAAAATAGGCGTTAACAATGATGGCCGATGTCTCAAAGTCAACCGTTCCCTGAATTTACCCGCGTTAATCTGGGCGTGTAAAAATGCCGTTTTCATAATTTGGGGAGTGGGTCGATCTTATCACTCAACACTGCAAAAGCCTCCCTTTATCAACTAGCAAGACCTGACACTTTTTCAGGCGACTCTCAGAGCTGAATTTTCAAACAAGTTGGCCTTTGGTCTTATGAGTCTATTTTCATAAAAAGTGTTGCGCCCGTGTAGTGGCAGTTACATAATGGGAGATTTTGTTTTATGTTTATCAATCTGTTTCTCCTTGAAAATTCGCCTTTTGGCTTTGTTTGTGCAGGTAGATAAAATCTCAATTTTAAGGGACTTTGCAGGTCGTTTAAGTAAAGAATTAGTGTATTTATCAGTTTTTTCGACTTACAAGACTTTATTAGATTAGGATTTAGGCTTGTATAATGGTCAATTGTTGTTTACATTTGCATTTTTTGTAAATACTTCCTTTAATACTTATGAAAATATATAATACACACTTTTTTCAAATTGAAGCATTATGCTAGAGTAAAAAAAGCCCATTGTGTGCAATTATGTGGAGGAATTTTTAATTATCTAGGATGCAATTTCATTAGTGGTTTTTTTTACTTTCTGTACTGCAGGTGTAAAATTATGGCACCAAATTTATTCCGTCGATACTTCATTTATATCGCCTCTTACTTGATTACTTAGTTCGTGTAATACAGCCTGAACCCTTGATCAGTGACTTAGAGTTTAAGGATGTGGTCATGTTTTTTTTTCAAGTTAAGGGCGAAATTCGGCTATAACTAAACAGGGCAAACATGGTAACCAAGATTAGTCTTAAGATACTGCTATGTGTTACGATGGCGTTAACACGTTTGCAATCGATTATTAACAAATTGTGAAAGTAAACCATACAATGACGTGAACCAATGAAGTCGAATGGCCCTGTTCGACAGGAACCTTTCCGACCATTAGAGATTTGATTTGTGCGCAGGGTTGATTGTTTATGAAATCGAACTGCGCGATTTTGGATGTTTATAATGGAGAGGGCCAGATGGTTTAAATGACAGGGCTTTAGGTAGCATCTCTACACAAAAATATCGTTCCTGACCGAAAGAGATGAAACCTGGGCAAATTACCATAAAAGGGATGACTGAGTAGATTTTAAACCAAACCAACTTGCCATAATTGAGAGGGTTTTTGAAAGCGATGTTTGTGCCACTACGTAGTCAAGAGTTTCGGTTGATTACAGGTATCCTCAATATAAGACACTGCGGGTGATTGTAAACATATTTCATGGTGTGCCTCTCGTTATGCAAGTTGCAAAAAACTCCTACTTTATAATTAAACTGAGTCGAGCAAATAGGAAAAGAGAGTATCAGAAGAACAAAATTTCACTGGTTTTGCAGCTCGACTTACTAAAGCTTCTACTGCATATTTCAAATATATTCTTTTCAGTTAAGTAAGTTGGCATTTCACGGGAACGAATTGCAATATTTCTATTAATTTCAAGTAGTTAATTCAATAAGATAGTGTTTGTGAATAGTGGCTTGCAGTTTGTCGTTACCACACCTCAACTCTAGACCGGCAACAACCCATGGGGTGAATGGTATGAAGAAATTCTCATTTTCTAAAACTAGCTGATGATTAAACAGTCTTGAGCTTAAATAGTTTCTCACACAGCAAGTGCGAGTATCCCTAGTTGATAGCTGAATTTATTTAGAATAAATTCACTTTGCCAGGATGCTGCAGGTTTTATAATATATTGCGCATTCATGTGGTACTTCAGGCACCAGGCACCTCATTCACATTGAATTGCACGCTTGCACATCAGTTATGAACCGATAAATATTATGTGCTTAAGAGGTTCTACGTGGAGCTCTTAGGCTCAGTGATAATCGTGAAGGTGTTTGTGAATAAGTGGCAAAGAAAACACTGCACTTTTGTTATGCACGGACAGGGAAAATGCATGCAAATGTGGCAACACATTGGAGTTTTATCAAGGCCAACCACTATATTTACTGGCAAGAAAGTGTCAGTCGTTTTCAGAAGTACACAGGCTTCAAACTAATTTATGTCTCACATTTATATTATCTTTACTTCTAACTCGCAGGTTTCATTAATATTCAAGATTTATTTTAATTTTTAGGCATGAAATTGTACCTGGCAGCGCGTTTTACAAGCACTAAACCTGAAATCATCATGTGGATTCAATGAAAAATGAAGTCATATTTGGAAGCTTACGTTAATAATTAAGTTAAATGGTATTCTGTTTTCTACAGGAGGGAGGGGGGGTGGCTCACAAATTCATTCGACCTAGTAAGAAACCCATATTTTATACAAATATGCCCCACTCTTAAGTTGAGAACAAAAAAGGATTAAAAACGAATATACGAGATTAATACTGCTTTCCCCGGATTTCCAAAATTTTGCCCGATAAATAGGTTTCAATTTAAAAAGGAAATCAAGTATGTTAGGTGCAAATTACATTACTAGTGGTCTTTAATAGAGCTACTTGTGGTCATTAGAATTGTAGGAAATAGTTTAGAACCAGTAGTCTTCTGCTTTGGCCTAGAAGGAAATGCTAATATCAGCGCTGTAATTAGTACAGAGGACTAAGGTCACAGCAGTTGGTGCAGATTGTTCAAAGTGAATATAATGACACAATCCAGTTTTTATTTTTACACCTTAGAACAACAGTTTTGGCCCCGTGGGATTCCTTGTGTGTGTGAGTGTGTAACCGAAAAACAACAGCAGCACCAACATCAACGGACTCATTTATATTAAAGCATGCATCATTTGAATCCGAAATTAATCACGAAGTATGCCAACAATAGTCGAAACTAAACACTCTTGTCTGAAATTTGCGTCGTACCTCAAAACGTGGATCATACATTCCTCATACGAAACTCTGGAAACATGCACACTGGACTTTGATTCGACTTGACGGCCCCCGTAAAGGTATCTTCTGTGGGTTGGCCATCACGGATAATCTGTTGGGGTACCATCATAGCAGACACGTCGTAAGTCGATGCTCTCATTGTTTGTCTTGCCAGAATTTTTGCGCAAAAGACAGACAAATTTGAGTTCAACAAAAATTTTTGCTTAAACTTGCAACCTTAACTCAATTTATGGACAATTTCCCAAATTAACTGTGTACATATAAAATAAACTGTGAGTCACCATAATTAACTTTTGACCAGAACAGTTGGATGATTTATTTTTTGCTCACTACTCTTATCAGATTTCCTTGCAAACAACGAAGGAACCGACAACAAACATAATCAATGCTTCTTTAATTAGAGCCATTGTTCAACAAAACCAGTGTCTCGCCTGTGCTCTAATCATACCTACAATTGTTTCAGCCCTACTTAACATCACCTATCTCAAACTGCATGATCGTTATAAACTTCTGAAATGGCGTCGAGTTCATCGTCGACGGACTGCCAAAGTATGTACCAGGGTCATTCGCAACTGTTGATTGTTCAGCTGGCTACAGTCAGCACCTACACAACTTTATATCTTGAACCACTGAGTGCTTTTTCTGCAATTCGTAACAGCGGCAAATTTGACACCTGTTCAATTAGTGATCTAACTCCCAGAGAGATCAGTGGGGAGGAAAAAAAGGATAATTTTGACATAGATCTCCGGTGTTCAATGTGCATCTACTCCTTTGGCAAATTTTCACTGACCCTACAACTGAGCTTGCTTGTTGAAGTGCACATTATCTTTTCGGGTTATCGGCTAATTTTCATACCTTGAACAGGAAATGCAAACACCTTCTTCACGAATCTTAATTAGTCATTAAGTGGTAATTCTTCTCTTAGCATTTGCATTCTATTATGAACGTTACCTCACTTAGTGGGCAATTGAATCAACAGTCTCTTCACGACAGCCCTGAAAGCTCTGAGTATCTGGATGTCAGGGCTTGTTCAATTTTTTTGGGGCAAGAACTCAAGTTTGCAACCAATTACTGTACCTGACCAAGACCGCGATATTACCAGGATTTCTGGAAGTGTCATGAAGCCAATTTTCAAAAGAGACTCTGGCTACAAATAAGTTTAACCCAAACCTTTCATTCAGTATTTCCTTGTCAGCTTTAACAGCTTTTTCCACAGTTAGTAGCTCGGTGTTCTAATGGTTCTTCCGCTTCACAGCGTCTGATACGCACAACAAAATTACTGGTTTTAATCGTAACCCTCGTTTGACAAGGTGTGACTACGTAGGCATATATGACTGTCTTAATACATTTTGGTAAGCCCACCAAAATATTTACCATTAAATCAAGAGGCTCTCGCTGAGTGCTACACCGTTCAATTTCGTCTGCTGTAATATCTCTAATTACCTTCTACCTTTATATTCTAACCCTCTGATCAGGTCCATTAAATGATGTATTTAGTTGAATCTCGGCCTCTCCGACAAAAAGAGAATGTCGAATTCGTTCCTTTGAAAGTCCAATTAAGAGAACTTTATAGGTAATATTTGTTTACTGAGCATTGAAGGTTTTTCTTATATAAACACATCGAGGATGAGTAACTTAAAACCAAAATGCAATCAGGAGACAAACATTATAAAACTATCGGCCATATCGTACATGTGCTTTCCTCGAATTTGGATACTAATTTATACTATGCATACAAGTACTAAGATACTCTACAGTTGTGTTGCACAAATTTCAAGTGATACACATCTTGCAAACCAAAAAAAGTATCGCAACAAAGAGGAGTTGATCAACTGGGTAAATCGTTACGCAGTACTACTGACTTGGCATTTAAATTACTTTGAGAGGTTAAATGCTTCGCCAATTTTTGCCAATGGCTTTTAAGTAATCCAGCTACCGTGAGTACCATTGTAATGTGAATAGTTTAAGATCTTCAAGTCATCATCTGATTAGCATTACTCTGGCATAGTAACACTAAGGTATTTTTTATGTGCAAAACACATTTTAGTTTCACTTCATTAACATGGTTGCAGAGATATGCGCCAGCTTAGTGACCTATTTTTACTGGCTTTCCCTCTGCAACATTGTAACTTGCATTTATTCCTTCTCTTAAACTAAATCTTCCAACACCGACGCTGTCGACTACCCCTGATCCATGCATTCTACCTGCTACTCTACTTTCACAACAAACCACTTACTCACACCTCAGTCATGTGCCCGTACTTATAACCACTTTCCCCAATTTGAAAGTCAATAAATTGATTAATTCTAGTCAAATGCTTAATTAAAGCTGCACATTTACAAACTCACGGTTTGGTTTTTCGGCTCTACTGGCAGTATACATTAATCATTGTGACCAAACAATCACCATTCATCGCACTTAATTGTAGGTGTGAATTTGTCAAAGTTGTAACTAGTGAATTACCGATAAAGTAAAGTCTCCTCATGCAGTCACTATAATCAAAAAGAAAAGATCCATAGCCTCATACAGACTGTAAGTTTAAGTTCAAAACTGGGCACCCATTCTCCCTGTCATGGGAATGAGCCAACGCAATCGTCTGCGTGACGATGCTAAAATCCTTTGAGAGGTTTTAGTGAATAACTAGACTTTCTGTTAAAATTTTAGGAAGCCATTTCGGGGCGGGTACCAGAACTACCATAAATTTTGTGAGAAAAATATCCGTTTTCATATATTAAGCTCGTGATAATAAAGTATCAAATATACTCCGAGTTTTTTAAAATCTAAAAGCTCATATTTAATTTCCGATATTACAAATCCAGTCAAAAAAAAGCCTTATTAAAAACGTAGGAAATAGTTTGAAGCTCCTCTAAAGTCTTAAGAACCAGGAGATCGGGATTTGTATACACGCAGATCAATATTATAAAGATGGATGAAAGCCATTTGTACTTTCCATTTATAGAAAATCGTTCTAAATCAGAAAATTGCCATAACACCCTTTAACTCAACGGATAACGAAGGAATACATCAGATATAATTTCTTCATTTCGACAGCCTTTACAAATTCTTAATCTTCTACAGTTAATCAGCCAATCAGTTCTGAGGCGCTGCTTTTGACTTTTAACACGGTTGACTCTGGGTCAGGCAATTGAATTTTCATCGCAATTATGCCCATTTTGGGGGGTGTTTTGGCCATTTACTGTCTACATATTCCTCTTATTCTGTTGAAGTTGTGTCGCACTCTTCACGTTTCTCGTATATTCGTGCATTTGCCCTCACGTCTCTTTTTTCTATATTTTTATTCCGTTTTCTACATTAATAGCACACAACAAGATGTCGTATGCACAAAGTAACGTCCAATGTGACTCTTACTAGTCCCCGTTGGCTGTAAACTAACTCGGTTTTTTTTCAGGACCGAGATCTGTTCCTTTATTATCCATGACTGCTGACTTCCCTTGTATGCAGTTCCCAGATTGGTGGGATATACATACTCAAAAGGGTAACCATCTTACTAAACTCCCCAATACACGTGTGGCGTTTGGCAATGGTCGAGCAATGGTTGCTGACTGGGGACGCGTTGGATCTTGCCAGATAGCACTGGCTGACAGTAGTGTTTCGGTAAGCTTTTATGCTGTCAAAAGATCGGTGTCGGGGGTACTATACTTTGTTCAGAAAAGCTACATAATCAAAGAATTAATAGTCTTTTGCTGGGATTAACTTCAAGGTAGATCTGGGTGTTGGCTTTTCGTAACTAAATAATCTTAACACTCCGTATCCATCGATTGGAGAAAAGTGTTTATTGGGTTAACACACGAGGTTTAGTTAGAGCATAATTTATCAATGTTTACTGACTTCATAGGCATTATGATACCAGGAATAATGTCCGTCTATGTTTATTTATGAATCCATTCAAAATTTGATTGTAGTCCTATGCGTCCCGATTACTTGTTTCTGAAAAATGTAATGTTTTATTCGGCTCCAGAATTTTAGTTATTGACTAAAAACCTAGCAACGCCATATCCCACATTTAGTTTTAGTGATTTGTGTCAAGTGCACTTCAGTCTGTTTACTCGACATTGAGTGTATTAAACGTCCCTCAGGCTTAATCATTATCTTTCAAGCCTACCGTTTTAAATGTATAACTTCATTTTGTAGATCGCTTCTATAAGGTAGTCGTTAAAGTAGTCTAGGTAGTCGTTGATTGTGGACGTTAGTTTCGTAAAATTTGTAGTGATACGATGCTCAAAGCCCATTTGACAGATGGTTTCTCGTTCACTAACTAATTTGCTTCTCACTGACGTCAGTGTTCTAATTTTGTCTGTTGTGTTCTTTTTTCTAGGTGCATGCGGAAATATCCTGCGATTTGGTTGGATCACTGCACTTCTCGGGGTGCCCCAAGCCCGTTTTGCCCATAAATTACCATTTGAGCGAAGGAACGGAGTATACCCCCTTTACGCACTTCACTGAGTGCCTTTCAAGGAAACTGGGAATCACGCAACTCCTCAACGATCCTGTTTTTGGTCGTCAAGCATGCGCTGCATTCGCCTGCACCAAAATCATGATGTTTCTGAAACGAAATTTCCCCAACTCAACCTCAGCGGATAAGGGGTCAAATCACAAGCGTGTCTCATCGAATCGCACTCTAAATTTTCTGAAATTTCTCGATGAGTTCACATCCAAAGCCCTGTCTGCAAACTGTCGACCGGAAATACTGCGTTTAGCCTTAGAAAAAATGACTAACTTTACTGACTATGAGAGGGATAATGGTAGAACGCGGGCAGACAAATCGTGTATTTCATTGCACTCATCGTCCAACAAACGAAAGGAAAAATCACCCTTGACACAAGTTCTTGCATCGATTTTTCGGATTCCTTTTAGTGAAGACGAGGCCAAGCTTGTGACAACTCACTTGGGTTTAGGCGATACGATTAATTTCAACCACCAGCCGGACCCTACAAAACTTTCAGAATTGTCATGTGCTGTCGATCCTTTTCTCATAATACTGTCTGCAAGGAGGGTAAATCCTGATTTCCTCGGTCATGGTTGTCTGCGAATAGTCGGCGTTGAGTCTCCTAAAATGTTCTGGGCACCACCTATTCCACGCAGCGCCACCTCACCGTCAATTCCCTGCATTTACGCCGCACCGCTTTCTGTTGACACCTCATTTCCCCTGTCACAGAACAGTTTTTGCGCCATCCAATTACCGACAGAGTTTGTGGAATCTTCAGTGTGTGAAATTGATGCCGTTCAGGTTGGTTAACTCACAAAATTGGCCTGCAAACATGGCTAGTAGTTTGACCCATACAATATTTGTCAATCGCATTACCTTAGAACTTAGGCAGAAATTATTTAATGGTAGATTTTGGCTGATTATTTCGTTCTCAGATGACTGTATAAGGTTTGAAGATGTTACAATTGCCCCTTATGTATATCAAGTTTCCATTTCATTTCATCATGTTTTTATCCGTACTTGCGAAGAAAGCCCCAATGCCTACAATATAACAAATTCGTCTCCATACAATATTCGTAAATACACCTCTCGTTCATTTGGTTTAACACCCTTAAACACTGGATTTGGCTCGCGTACAAGTTATAGTGAAGCTTAGGGTAAATTAGTTTGCTCTTAATATTCAAGGGGTTGCGAAACCTCTGATCATGACTACTGGCTCCACAACCTCATTTTACGCGTGTTTTTAATACTCTGAAAACACAAGATGTTCTATTGGTCTATTGTCTTAGTGCGAGTTTGTTTTACCTGCTAGCTAGACGAGTCTTCCTTCTACGTAATCGCTCGCAGCACCTCTGGCCAAGTTTTCACTGGGAGGACAAAGTATACGCTTTCTAAATCCGATAATCTGGAGGTGATATCAAGCGAGGCCTTTCCATTCGAGTCACCTACTGGTTATCGACCGATTTCAATGGCCATCAGTCCATGGCGCAGCCGTTCCGCTAAACCAAGCGCAAAGTCCCTCTCATGGGCTCTTGCTGGGCGCAGGTACGATCCGGTCGCCTTCCCAGGCTCGCATTTAGCGGTTGTGGAGGTCTATGATGCTAGAAGAAACCAGCGTTCATGGTGTGGTCAAATTCCACTCAACAGTGATGGTTAGTTTGATTCGATTGCTTGTCGATGGCAAGTTCGTTCACACGTAACATTTTTTTACAAATTTTAGGTGAGTGTATATCCCATGTGCTTTCTAATTCAGTCGCCGCCTCCAGTGTTGAATATGTGGAAGGGCGTTGTGCAGAATTTGAGGCAACAAAACCGAGTTATGCCAATTCCTTTCTTCACAATAGTCTTCTCAACTACAGCGAACAGGTTCGGCGTAAGCGGACTTCTAGCAGTTTCTTGTCGCCAGAACAAATACTTCGTCAGGGAGAACTGGACTTCCAGATTAGTCACGCATCTACGTGGGTGCGCGTGGGATATGGAGATGCACCCGGCCTTCTTTCGCTCACTACACCAAAACGCTTTCTTTTAATTGACACTCGGATCTCTGGAGCCTGTGCAGCACAAGAACTCTTAAATATTTCAAAAACGGTGGTTGGTCTGGACAAAGGCCGACTGTTTAATCCATCGGAGTGCATTTTCCATTCCCAGCCCACCTGGTATGGAGATGTATATGCCACATTAGCAACTGACTACAACGGCTTAGTGGTGGATAAACGTATGCCAGGACATCCGGTACTCCACTGGTCCCATTGTCTTCGAGGTCCTTTGACGTATTCAGAATTTTGCGACTTTGGAGTTCAGCCTAATGATTTTCCTGCTCAAGTAAGCGTTTAGACTCTCTAGATTCCAGGTTCTAGGTGGCTCTTTTGACAGCTTCCCAATTGCCTGGGGAAGTATCAGTCACAGGCATCAATTTCCATGTAGGTACGCAGGTGGCGCCAAATCTGGTCGGCCCATGTCTATCCGGAGGTGTTCTAACGGATATCGTTGACTGCCCATTAAACAGTCTCCCCAATGGTGTTCTCGACCCGCACTTCTGTAATGATCGCCTTTCTTCAGGGATTATTGGTGCGACTGCTTCCATGCTTCAAGATAAAAAAAGTGGCGACCCGATAGGAATTCGCGGTCTTATGTTAACCTCTCAAGGTGATATTTTCTGCAGCGACTGGTTTTTCTCCCACCAGGCCGCCATGGAGTCTCACAAAAGTAATGCAACTAACATACGGTTGTGGTGCCTGAGTTCTGACAATTCAAACCAACCCAAGGTGTCTAGTCTTGGCGTCTCCGAAACCTCCGGAATCTTATTCGGTGGTGAATCGGAATCTGATACCAAGCCCATAGGGATAGATGAGGACTACGCTTTTGAAGACATCTTCGAATCAGGTCGCGATTATCATGAATCGACGTACTCCAGTTTATTGCAAGCAGATTTGTGCCAAATTCTAAACGGTGAACCGGTATCCACCTCTTTATCATCAAAACGAAATAAAGAGGAAGAAACATACCAGGAATTCTTGGATGAAATAATTGAGTCAGCAAAGCGAAAACGAAGTGACCATACGAAATGACATCTGCTACGTTTAGCACGAAATATTTGTGTACATAACCTCTGATTTTTTATCTTCAGATTATTGTAACACCTTCTCAGGTCCATGGAGCAGAGTGTGAAAAATACAATTTATTCGATTTTTTGGTATTAACAATTGTTGTCTATCTAGGCTTCATCGTCGGCATCGTCTCGAACGAAGGGAATTCCTAAAATTGTTCAAGCAAACATTTGAGAACGTCAAATGCTTGATCGTTTTCAATAAAATTAAAATATCGAAGATATTTTAACAAGTCGTATTACCAGTGTGGCAGTCGCAGTAGGTTTGACGTAATTAGCCACGCTCTTTATGCGATGGCAGTTATTTTAAAGGTCAAATTCCTGGGGATAAAGGGCCACTAAATCTGCCTGTTTGTAGTTTTGAGGTCTAATCAGCTACAAGATGCTATCGATTAAATCACTTTAGCAAATACGTCAGAGGCTTCGGATGTAATGCGCACTAATTTCTCAAGTACTTTTTATGCGACGTCTGCATCAGTCTGTTTTTTCAGTCTTTGAACTGCCAATCAAATTTTACAAAACACATCGTGTTAAATCGCCTTCAGTTGCACGTATCAGCACGTACATGGCCTAATTAGGGACCAGTCTTTGTCATTTTCAAAAAAGCTCATAGTGATCCATATTTTTCCTCTATACTTCCATCGCCCGAAAACAATTACATCACCACTTAAATAGATACTATTTTGTCTGAAATACATATCTAGAAGTCTTAGCTTAATCATTTCTTATGTTGTCTAGGGATTTTATAATGAATACATTCGAAATACTGCTGTTCGGCTTTCCAAAGAGCGTTCATTTCCCAGTCAATAATTTGAAGTTGGGCGGTTTTTGACAAAATAGCAATTTAATAAGTAACATGATGGCGTGTCTAAAAATTTTTCGTTTACCAAAAACTGGCTCGTGGTATGTACTTTATCTTTGTTTATTTGCTATTTGTAAAAAAAAATTAGCAATTTTCTTGAAATGTTCTACATTTTTTATATATCACCAAGAGATTACTGAAAACTATTTAATGTTTACGCTGTGTTGTATTACTGTCCATCCTGATCATAGAGCAAACTTTTTTCATGCTGACATTATTGGGTTAACTAGTAGAAAAGCTGTAAATAATCTAGGGATTGACTTTTATATACAATAAGGGAGTTAACCCAAATGTTTTGTCATCTATCAATGGTGACGCCACCTTTTTGAGCCATGATCACAATGCTCGCACAGAAATTATCTATGTTACAACTGTCAAAGACATTTTTAAATGGCGGCTGGATCCCAAGCTTATTGACGCAGTGCATATTGAAGTAAAGTGCTTAATGTCCGTAAATGCCATCCTAAATAAATCTAGAAAACGTAGCCTCACCATCAAGTTTCTTAATTCTAGGTAGCTTCTTCATAGCATCATCCCGAAACGTCTCCTGGTTGTGTTCTTCCAGTGGATTTCCTAACGGAATATGGCTAGAGGCGATTCATGAAATTTACCGACGAAAACCAGGTCTGCAAGCGAAGGGAGATCATTTAACCTAAGCAATTCACTCCAATCCTTAACTTTATTATTAGCCATATAAAGTACGCGCAATTTCTTAAGGGAACCAAGTCCTTTAAGTTTTTCAATATTATTATATGAAATCCACAGTTCTTCAAGAGTTTCTCCAACAGGTTCCAAACCAGAAATAGTTTTAATATTGTTTCGTGCAAGCGAGAGAACGCGAAGGTGTTCTGAAAATTGCCTTACAAAAAATTAAAAAAAGCCTACTTAGTGAATTAAGGTTAGATATTTTTTCAATAGCATTCGTTGAGAGGGATAATTTTCTAGTAATATTAAATCATATTATCCCACACCTTACTCGCAATTTGCCAAGAGCGATAATCCAGAATCCATTTTCTCAATTGGAGGATACTGTGCATAAAGTTTAACTTCTGTGGCTTCGCTAGCCTTTTGGCCAGTTCGAGCCTCCCAATTTGCGATAGCCAATTTAATTGTGGTGGGTTTTGCCTAGTCGACCATCAGAATAGAAGACCAACTAACCATTCTTAAAAAAACTAGTGACGCTTATTGTCTTGACGAAGGTTGATATAGTTTAATAAAACAAGTTTATTAATTCATTGGCTTTGATACTGATCAGCATCATATGCAACATAGCAAATATTATTTTGTGCGTCATAAGGCATTCATGTACGACATTCCTCCTTAACCAACATTGAGTTGCAAGATTACTAAATAGAAAAATGTGACGAAAAAATCGAATATTAATTTTAATCGTAACCTGAGTAGACAATGCAATTCTCCTTAATTGCGATTGCTTTTGGTTCATTCGTACGAATTTATTCGGTACTTTGTGATTAAATGCCCTTCCGTGAAATGTAGAGCATAATAAATAGTCGCTTCGGTTAGTTTCAATTTAATTAAAAATTAATGAAGTAGATTTTTTCCCAATAGCAAAAAAAATATTTAATGCATTTTGTAAAATTCAGATCATTCAGACACGCCATGCTTTATGCGTCAGAATAATTGAATATTTTTTGGGCTTCACATTAATTCGTGATTTCAGTAACAGCCAATTTCGGTGACAAGTCGAGTTTTAAGGTCTTCACCATAACCCACCTTTTCCATCAATTTATTCCCTGCTATATGCTAACGCAGGTCGAGTTGCCACGGTCGGTTTAAATTAGAACAAATTCAGAGTTCTTAGTCGCAGTTCCTGGATCTCGCTTTCATTATTATTTCATTCATTTTATTAATATGGATGACTTTTTACGTTTCGCATGATTTTTGGTATTTTATACTGATTTAGGAGTGGTTACAAGGGAACGAAGCTATCAGGACCATTTTTGTAATTTGAAATGATGGGTGTATTCAGAATATTTGTGCAATTTATTTTTTAGCATTGGAGAATCCAATTAGATGTGATGAATAGGGAGGAAGACAAAACCTTTTTGTGGCTAAATTCGAACGCAGCTTGGGAAGGACCTCATCCACATATACTCATCCTCCAGGTTTAAAAATACGCGAAACATTAATAATACGATCATGAAATCAGACTTTTTTAAACAGTTAGACATATCTAGATTGGACATGATTTCGCGCCTTAGAAAACTTTAAACTAGTTGAAATCTTGCGCACTTTTGAGTAGTAATGCTATGACGCGCACCATTCGGCCCACGCACGCCGGTCTGGCCTGTTCTTTGCCCTCATTTCCCTCCCGCACTCTCGCCTTCTTCAAGACACGCCCGTGCGTCCGAGGGCAACACCGACTCTCCTCGCGGCCATCCCTTTCCCCACTCTAACTCTCCCTAAGCTCTAGCCCTCTGAGTTTGTATGCGGTAGTATTGAATACATCCGGTTTTTCCACCTATCTTCTATCGTGTGCCTGGTAGATAATCATGATGGTGTGGCTATCTAAGAGGGACAGGCTAACATTCATCTCCCTATTTAGGTCTCCGCTCCGTAGGCGCGTTACAATGCGTAGGTGAATGATTTTCTTGATAAAACATGCTTTATTTAGTCATACAATTCTTTGATCTTTTAACTATTTGTAATAAATGTCATAATTTGAGTCTGATCAACGTTTTACTCAGTTTGCCTGCTAAAAAGATTGTTAAAATGGAAGTACATTTACAATTGTGTACAAATTCCTTTACGCTGTGATTTATGTATCTTCACTAAAAGAGATAGAGATCGAGTTATGTTATCCACTGAATTAAATACTGCAGCATGTTTATTGCTTGGCACCATCATTTGTACAGAGCCTAGAAATATTAGATTTTTTCTACTGACACTTGGAATACCGGAATGTTAGCCAATTATTTCCACGCTCAAGCTGCCATGTAACTACGGAGGGGTTAATTAATGAAAGATATCAAAATAATCGAAATGTTCAAGTTTAAGATTTTGATAAACATTCAAAATGGACATTCGCATTCTTTTTTGAGATGAAAAACCGCAATTTCGGACCTCTTCAACTTAGAGACTATTTTTTTCATAAATAAATGCCTTGTTGAGTTGCAGTAATTTTAAAAGTTGTCATTTTTTAATTCCGTACTCACACTGTATCTCTAGATCTTTACCAAAGTACACAGATCGACATGTGTCAATTTGTCCGTCCCGGATGGCTGACATTATAGGGCACCTGAATATACTTCGAGTTGATTGCCAGAGCCTGACTCTTCACAAAATTCCAGAATTCTTATAGTTATAACCAATTTTGATAGACCCGATTTGAAGGAATGTCAAATTGTACGAGGCGTGAAACATCCACTAAATACTTTCTACTCACTCTGCATCCTTCTTGTGTACAGCTGATGCTAGTCATTGCTGTCCTTCATCTTCCGTCAAAAACGCAGAATCTCGCCCAAAAAAAAACAAGCCACTATCTTTTATACGTCTGTTGTTAGTTGAAAGTAAACTGATAAATGTATGGCCATACTGAACATTAATTAGTGGAGCATGTTTTGAATTTCAGTTGTTCTTCAATTTGACCATTGATTCACTAATGGGGCACTAACAAGATGACCAAATTGATTCAAATTTTAAATAAACGGTAAAAAAGAAACTTTTTGAAGAAACTCAGACAACACATGAAATTAATCAACCGAGATGCATCGTTTTTCAAATTTCTCCATTTATTATGCTGACTTAGTGTAATAAGTGACATATTAGTGCCTGTTAATTGCCCATGGCATTAAAATAAACGCATTTTTGTCAAACCCATGTAAAGTGAATTTATTCACTGTTTTTGTTTGCTGCATGAATCATTCATCCTGTACGTTAGGACACGTAAACTTATAGAACCCAAAGCTGAGTACTACTACTACTAATAATAATAATAATAATTGTTATTTGTCCTTATCAATCACATATTTGTACTTTTTTTTACACATAGACATCAGCATTTACAAACAAATGTTCTTACTGTGTGCTAAAAACAAAAGGCTCTTGAACTATGCAATAACGGTCATATCAGTCCGCCAAACCTTGCATCCGTCAACGACGTACGCGAGTCCGATGAGAAGTAGACAACAAAGGATAATGGCAATTGGCCAAAACAAGCTGTGGAATAAAAGAGTGTCTGGGTACAGACGGTGCATTAGTGCTGCCGCACTGAGATGTCCTTGTGTTTGAAGCAGAAACACTTGTCGGTAAGACGTCTCCTCCAGGGGACTATTAGTCCATTTTAAGAGCCAATCCATGGTCTGGAAAGGAATAAATTCATTCTCATTGGTGTCTGGAAAGGTGCCGATAAAGTCCGCAACAGATTGTTTAGTAGAATTCAATCGATGTTTCCAGCTGTGGACGTCTCGTGAAGAAAGCTTTTTGTGAAGAGGTCGAGCGTAGCAAGGCATTAATCCGGTTGCGTGGAGTTCACGGAGGTACTGGTCCACTGTTTCCACATTGTCGGCCTCTCGACGGTTACAGGGACTCGTGGAGCACTGAAATGCCACCAGAATTTGCTTGTTGTTAAATGTCCATCATGCGATGGGAGACCACCCTCCATAAATGCAACATGTCTGCCACGAATCAGAGACCTCCTTATAGATACATTGCGTCATTATTTTCAGTAAATTTCCAATGTTAAGAATCAATTCGACTAGGTGGTTAAAACTTATGTTGAGCACTAGAGAATTATGAACCATGCTATGATTTGGTAAACTTATCTGCAACCTTCAATTTATTCCCAATATTAATTACAACCGCTGACGTTTCAATTATTTGACTAGGTTTCAAAGTCATTTTCAGCGAAAAGAAAAGATTCTAGTGTCTCATTTCAAAAATGCACCATTAATGTTTTTATTCAACACGTAAAAGTGCAAACTCAGAGATAAAAATGCATTTCAATGAAAAACCATTGTGCCTGCATGTTAGTAAAAGGTTCATTTAAATTTTCACACATAACAGAATTGCTACATAGTAGAACCAGCTCCGTAGTTGATCATCTGACCTATTAACAGAGCAATTAATTAAGAAACAATACACACACACACACACTTTAGGCTTATTTTTGGTCGTATGCATCATGACTTCTCGACTGACAAAAAAGCATTTAATTGTGATGAAGAGAGAACATTCAGTTCACTTCTTAATATTTCCTAGAAAAGATTTTATGTCCACATTCACGCTCAGCTTATTCTTTGTGTCTGAATTCTAAGACAAATAATTACTAGGGCTGTTCAGTTCGCTACGGAAAATTGTGTATCAACTAGAGCGGTTAAATGCACTTTTGTGCAAATTTGATCATACAATTTATACTAATGCAGCATAAGTATTGCGTAATTTCAAAGTGAATGGTACGTAGAATAATTGTTCTCGAAGAAGTGCAATATGTAAAGGCTACAAGAGGCGGACTCAGCCTTAATACATGAACGATAAATAATCCAAATATGATTTAATTTGTACAGATTATCAGCTAGTTTCTTTAATATGACAAAAAAAGAGAACAACTAACTTCATCTTGGAAATACTGTCCAGCATTTTCGACGGCCTTGCGCCATCTCTCAAGTAAGAAATATGTGGAATCATGTAAGCTTTTTTGAAGAAAATTGCAAGGCTCCACAAATCAATTCAAGCATGCTTGAAGAAAAACCTCGGAACTCCCTCAAGTTAATCGTTGACCAAAACACAAACAAACTCATACCTTATCCGCCTTGTAAGCCGCATACGTACTAAAGTAGTCGTATAGGTAGAGAAGTCGTGCCTCTTTCACCACCAGGTACTCCTTTACGGCGGGAGTTCGGTGTCGAAGAGCCTCAATAACAGCCGGAATTTGGTCTTCCTGCACGAGGGCTGGAATGTACACGACCTGAACAACCGCGCACGGGAACGCCGACCTGTCCTTTGAGCATTTATTCTCGCACTTGACTCGCTTTCCGGTAGCTGTATAATAGAGAAGACAGACTCCCGATTCGTAAACTGATTCGGAAATGTATGGCGTAATTACTAAGTGTGCGAGGATGCATTCTATGATAATACTGGCCGAAACGAGGGTGGCACAGGCCAAGTAGACGAATTTCAGGCACGTTCCCGAGCAGTACTTTTGACGAATTCGGGTAAATACTTTATTCTGAGTGAGACATTGCGTCCTCTTGTTGAAGTTGGTTTCCATCGAGATATTTACGCAGCTGCTCCTATTCGAGAAAGTTGCGCAATGCCACTCGGCCCTTTTAGCTCTTGCATGAGAACTATCTGAATGCTGATAGGCAGGTCGATAAGGAGTCGCAATCTTATTGGGTTAGTCCGACAGGTAAGGAAGCGCTCATTGGCTTGGATGGTGGCACGACGTTAGGCGCGCGCATTTTTGACACGCGCTGCTGAGATCGGGTGGTGGAGCGCTTCGCCCCACTCGGGGGCTGCAAGCGCTTGCGTGGGCTGTGGACGCGGTGCATTTGGACGACCGGAGCTAACACGGCACTCAATTTGTAATTTTGCCATTAGTAAGCAAGCAGCTTATTCCCGTTTCCTCGTTGTAGAAGTGGCACTTTGCACACGCAGGGAGGCTATTCTTGTAAATAAGCTTTGTACCACCACTTTCCCGAAGGCTAGAGGACATTAACATACTCGACCGTTGTGCTAGAATCAACTGCGTTCAAGCGACTCACGCGTTTTATTCAGTTCTAATTAAAATGGCTCGTGTATTGACTGCTATTTGTACATAATTTTGTTCCTTATCTGAAGTGGTCAAACATTTCCCTGTTTACCGATTCTGAGAAGGAACCAAAAACCGCAAAATGACATTTGGTGCTATCGACTGTTGGTGACACTTAAAGGAAGCTTCGGCTATGCTTCTTTCCTTAAGACTGTTCCGTTAGGTAGATCACAAACCCAATCCATTGTAGTCTTTCTACTAGTTGTTAAATTCAAAATTTATGCGCAATTAGCGGTTTTGCATTGGGCTTAAAATTACACATGCAACCATTTTTACAAGTAACTCGTGTTTTCTACTAGGTTTAGACTCCGTGAATTTTTTTTGATTTAGTGGTTGACCTCGTGAAAGAATCGGCAATGCAGAGTTGACCTCTGACGCTCGAACTCATTTTTGGTGGACAAACTGCTAGATTCCTATAATTGATTCTTCCCCACTAATCAAGAATATTAACGGATAGTTTTCAATCTTGCTGATGCACGAGCTCCGATAACTTGATCCGATCTTGATTTGACCATGAAAAAGTAACCCTTGATGTGTTTTGACGCAGAAGCTTACCAGAAATGTTATTTTACACCACAAATACTCGCAAAATGGGGGTGAGACAACTTGGAAGTGGTCCTATATGCGAAATGTCACTTGGATTCAGCTCTACTTCCTCCATTTAAAGATTCAAAACACACTTTGTGGGATTTGTGCCTTGATGTTGTGAGAAATGACCCATGTTTTCGGATCGCCATAATAGCCCTAGAAGAATAACTGGTGGCGACGAAATTGGGGTGGAGTGGTGGAACAAAATGTGGGGAATTCCCTGTTGGTACCCGATTTCACTGTTTATCCCAACTGAGCACATACTCAGCAAAATGTCCCATATCTGTTTTTTAATGCACGATTGTTATCACCCGAGCTACCCGTTGGATTACGATTTTGTTGCAACTGAAATGGTCACTATGTGGTCCTTTGTAACGTTTACGATCATGCGAAATAAACTAACGAATCCACCGGGAGTACACTTTACGTCGCCAAAGGAGAAAACCAAATACGCCTCTGCGGCATCTGCATCAATTTCTTCCGGAAGCACCGATTGCCAACCACTTTAGTCTGCAGTGGTTGAATATACGTGAGAATATGGGGTGCCCACAAATGCCCGCAGCCAATCAATTGAAACCCCGGGGTAAGCAACCAACACAGCTTGTTCTCATTGCAACAGGAGATATTTAATACATGAAAATACTCATACCGAATGATATCTTATAAAACGTCTGCAGCAGTTCCCCTCATTCGAGGGTCAGATCTGGCAAAAAAAAGATATTCAAGGCAGAGCACACAAAGCAGAAACTAGGGTAAGTTAGGCCAATTCTGTACAATGTCTTAATTCACTCCTAATATGGGAAGTTGATGTTATGGCAGCCACTTCCTAGTTGATCTCGATATCGATGTGCTTTATGTCGGGAAATTCTTTCTAAAATGCGAAAGGGAACAAGGTAACTCAAAGAGTATAGATCTGCAGTAAGAATTTCCATACTAAAACTTCGCTTTGCTAGATATTTCTAAGAACAGGCCTCTGTCCGGTGGCGATCGAGGTAACTATTGCGCTCCCTGGACGGGAACGAAAAACAGAGAGGACTTTGGACATATATAACACCCAGAAACGCAACGCGGGTTCAATTAAGTAGCACCGAAACAACGTAAAAATATTCCGAAGTTCACGTCCACGCCATCTCTGAAAGTAACACCGATACATAAGGATTGGCATTCATCGCAATGTTTTATCTTTACTTCCGAACCTATGAAGGCAAATTCCTTAAAACGTCACAAGCAGACCATCGGCCGAGGCTACACCTACGATCTCCCTAACTGAAAACTGTGGACCACCAACTACAGAAACAGGAAACATTATAATGAATTTAGAAAATCAAATATGAATTGTTTGTGTGTGAATAACAAGTTCGCCAAACTGAGGCATCGATTGTGGAAAATGGGAATCAGTTCTGTTAAGACACGTGCTCTACGCGATAATCAGAATAAGTCACCCAAACCGGGGTAGAAGTTCATTTTAGTATTAAACTAAAGCGACTATTTGAAGTCAGCTTTATCGTGAAACGATGACAGAGAGGAAAGTGGTGTGAAGAAACCAGCACCAAAAAATTAGACTCAACGAAGCAATTAGGAGGTAAGATCATGAAGTTAAAATTGCTTTCAAAAAGGCAAAGGAATACGTCAGTTGGTGTACCTTCAATCCTTCCTCAATTTGATTGATTTCGGCGCCTAGGGTGTTAACAATCTGGTCTCCGTGCTTCAGCATGAAATGGACCATCTGTTCTTCTGTTTTGATGGTGTTGATTTCCTGAGCATAAAAGCCAAAAATAAGTATCCGTCCAAGCCCGAAAGAACGTCATTGAAGAAAAAACAACGCCAGATGGTAAATTAAAAGAAACTGCCATTACTTTGAAGCCGTCCCACTTTTATGTCCTTGCACAGCGTGTGTGTAAAAACCTTGGGTATATGAGTTGCAGGTCACACAATTCATTCCTATGTCCGGTTAACCGGAGTGTTGTGGAATTTGGATAACTTTTCACCACGTCCGGGCCACCAACTGTTGTGGGCCCCGGCACGTGGTCGTTGCGTCGTGTGTTGCGTTAGCAGTGTCAAAAGACAGCCAGTGCAACAGGACTTTTTTATGCACGGTGCACCGGAGGTGAACGTACGTCTCAGTAACGACGGATAATAAAGTTACCAACACACTTCGGGAGAATGTTGGCGATCAAAAGGCTACACACAGTTGAGGTGCTTGACAAGCAGATCTGTGACAGCAGCCTGAGTACCGTGAAGAGACTGGGCAAATGCGGATAGCTAACTGCCACAAATGGGCAGAATGAACTCAAAAAATGATGTATACAACTTAATGAAAAAGTGTTTAATTGGCTAAAGATTTGCTGATGCAAACCGAATGTTACAAATTAGCTGTTTTGAAACATAATTTTGGGTGACTTGAATTGGTGTTCTCAGGACCGACTGCTTCCGACGTTTGGAAAATCACTCACTCAAAGAGCAAATACACGCTTCCCAAGTTCACTAAGGCAATGGAAGAAAAGGGTCTAGTTCCGTATGAGCCACTGTTAAAGAGCTCGTAATTAAAGAAAAATTTACCGCAAGTAGCACGTCAAGCTGCATGGTTTCAAGGTATCGGCGAGTCAATTCGCGTCCATCGACATCGACCTCAACCTTAAGCCGAACTGAATCACCACCACCCATGAGCATGGCTTTAGTATCGTAGGTTCCCCGAATAATTTTCACATTGTCGATGAAACGCATTATCTTCTCCTGCCTCTCCAATGAAATAGATCTACGAAGAGAACAAATTCCATGGGTACGTTGTGCGATTAGTGTTTAGTAATGGCCGAATAACGACACGAACGCAAACTACCTCACAGGAAATCGGCCACACACAAAATATGAAGGCTCAATGGCTCCAACAATTGCTCAAAACGCACCCCCGCATAGTACGGATGACAGTCTTGCATATGCAAAAGGAACTATGTCATGGCATGTCTCACTTGAAACGTTAGTAAAGTCAGACCAAGTTATTTTGTCTTAGCCCTCAATTCAGCGACCCAGGCTACCATTTATGAGAACCTTGTGCGGTCACTCACTTGACAATGCGTGGCGTTTTAGTGGACGGAACTAAGTTCAAGTGTGGTTCGTGAACAAACAAAACTTAATGGAGGCCGGTGAAATTGCTAATCAGAACGTGAACACACCCATCTTTTAAAAATTGTACAATTCGCACAGCATAGTCAAAATCACTAAGACTCCCGTAGATCAAAAAGTTCTCCCATCTTGGAAGATGGCTAGTGTGGGAACGGCCTGTCCATCTGACGCTCTCCAATGCGAAATTTGTGCCACAGTAGAGCAAGGATTTCAAACGAACATCAATGTAGGTAAATGCGCTATGGGCATATTGACGCTTACTAAACCCAAGACTCAACATAATGAAGGTACTCATTCACACCTTTTTTACGAAAGAGGGAAGATACTGAAGATGACAGCCCTAATTTACAGTGAGCCTGTTGTGGCAGCAAGGGCTTGGCATGCGATGAATAAATGGTTCAAAAGTGAGCTATATTGGGTTACGCCGTGACAACCTGTGATTCCACCCATTTCGTGTTCATCTGTCAAAAAATGTTTCAACGTGTAACACGCAAGTTACGTACTTTCCCAGGAGAATATCCGTGTTCGTTCGAATTATGAATGCGGCGACTGCAGCGAGTATCCCACTAATTGCAATGCCTCCTACGGTATCTGGCCACGTAGCACCAGTCCAGATGGAGGCGGAGAGGGCGCCGGTGGCCACGAGGACTCCTAAAACAGCGGCGGTATCCTCCAAGAGGACCACGGACGTGCTCGGATTGGCTGTACCTGACTCAAGGTAGGCCCGGATGGAGTCAAATTTACTTTCCGCCGCTTTCGCCTTCACCTCTCTATAGGCCATAAGGAGGGTGGAGCCCTCAGAGAGAAGCGACCCGATGGTGACGGCAATGGCCCCGTAAACAGAGGTTTCGTCAAGTCCGTGTGGCACTATGAGACCTTGGACGGCGTGATAGAAGGTGAACCCTGAGCCGAGGAAAAAGATCCCAACGCCGCTAATGAGCGAGGAGATACTTTGCATCCGCTGGTAGCCGTACCTGGGAAAAATGGTCCAATGCCACATAAATTCCCTCAACACCATATTTATACAGCGTAGGTCGACGCTTGTGTCGAGGTAGTTTCCCCATTTTGATTTGGTTTCACCAATCTACATGGAATATATAATACTTCGGAAATCGCCAGTTTATAAGAAGAGCCGACTAGCGGCGGTGCCTGTTTAAGCACATTCCAACAACCTTGATGAAGTAGAATACATTTCGGACACGTCGCCACTTTATAACAGACGATAACTTTTTAGATCGTAACAAGCCACTTAGTCAAATATGCCAAATGGACTACCTTAAGTTCAAATCTCAGGACGGCATGTGAACAGTGCTTAAATTTATCTAGCCTGTTCCAGCAGGCCAAGAAATAAATTGCTAAACAAATGTCCCCGTGTTGATGTTGAGTATGAACAAACATCAAGAGTGAACTGTGTCAAAGCACGAAGATCAGAATGGTACGAATACTCGTCTTAAAGAGGCAAATATTTGATAAACTTCAGATCTCTCACACTAACTCGTTTAACTAACAAAACAACTTTGACGTTGAACTCTGCTCATTCACTCTTCCAGTTGACTCCACGATCGCGTTGTAGGATAGTAAATATCTGACATTCCTTTGCATCTAGCACCTATATGCAGACACTTGTTTGGCGTATCATCATTTATTTACCTGATGGAATGGGCCTACTGTCGTTACCAGAAGCACTTATGAGAGCATGAAATGACTGACATTTAAATGTGTACCGTATGGCGTAAAACCACGACCAAAATTAATAGAAGACTTAATCTGTTCGCGTGATTAAAAAAGTCCTTAGGAAATACTTGGAAATTTTGATTTTTGAACACCAGCCCGCGTACGTGTGACGAACGGTAGTGTCGGTTATTAGTCATGCAAGGGGCACCGTAAAGTCTGCCGTGAAAGGACTTCGAGAAAGGTTTCTCGTCATAGTCAGTGTCCACCAAAGTCGCCAAAATTTCACAATTCTTAAGTGTAGAAACGATCTTAGTGAAGATCGCTCGAGATGGTTCAAGCGGAAATAAGACGTGGGTTTCAAGTTACGGAATTTCAACCAGTTTTTTTCTCGAAAATGCATGTTTAAGAGGTATATTTTTGGCCGCGGTCGACGTTGATTCATTCTGCTTTTTTTTACACAACACGTAAATTGAGAAAGCTGGCATAAATGTGAAACAAAGGGCAATGTGTGGAAAGTAACGAAAATCGATCCTTAAATTTTTTGCATGTCCACTGCGTGACTTACAAAATCTTAAGTGGTTCGAAGACGCATTTTCGGCCCATGTTGCATCAAAACTGACATTAAAAGCGAACCACGAGAGTGTGTGGAGGGAAACGCGAATTTCGACTGCATTTCCATACCGTTTCAGTCACATGAAAAAGTGGTTTCAAAGCTACGACAAAAACACCTGCGCAAACAACACTCAGACCATCCACGATCGCAGTAGTCCACTTTTTTTAAATTAACCGAATGTATTTTACAGGTCTTATGTGAAACCACTGTTATAACTTACGGGTGATCCACATCTGGTCGCTGAAGGGAGAAACGAAGTCCATAGGCGAGTAAAATCTAAAATGAACCCAGAACAAGAAAACAAAATGCAAAACTTTGGATATCCTTGGAGGTTTACTAGTAACTTTTTGGACTTTAAAATGCGAGTTTTTTTCACAGGTATTCGCGTAGCCTAAACACCACAAATCATGACACTTTGCTGGATTATAACTTTTCCCTCCCACATCTTGCCGAATTAGAATGAAATTAATAGAGGTCAAAAAGTGATTATTAAGGAAACATGAGGCAGAAACAAGAAACCTGCTATCTATATTTACGGAGCTGGGGCATTTAAATGCTTTATCACTGAGATTTTGGTATGCATACTTAAAACAGTCTGTATTAACAGCACTAAACTTTTGATAGAAGAATGATGTACCAACCTGGTTGAGAGTGTCAGCTACCGAATGCATCATTTCCGAGAACATGCTCTTCGAACCGGTAAACCACCATGCCACCGCCTTCGCCGCCATATTCAGGCTGTTCCTGCAGACAATGTGGCAGGAAAGGATTAAAAGTAGTAAACCAAAAATTGCGAAACCAACATAAGGGAAAGCAAGACCAAAGGCATTTGCTGCGATTTAATGCTGCACTGGGTGTAGGGTTTTGACCTGCAACCTATATTAGACTGCCACAAACCTTAACTAGGGCAACAGGCGTAGATAAATTAAATCCACATTACCATTGGCGAAATTAAATAATCGCACAAGAACCAATTTATTTGTTTACGTGGTAGACAAAAATAAAAGCGAGCAAATACAGGTATCAACTCACACGCCAATAGCGAACATAACAACTCTTCCCGGCCCAACTCTCCAATTTCCAGATGTTGACACGATAGGCTGAAAAAGAGGTGGTGATCGTTAAAAAAGGCAATTTCGCAGATGGCTATTGGATTTTCTTACCCATCCTAGTAAACAATATGTAAAATGACTCTTAGCAAAAAGATTTACTGTAAAGAAACTGTGGGTATGACTGACAATGTAAGGCAACATAACAAAGGATGATGATTTCGAAAAGATGGAACACCTGCACTCTAACACACACGGATCTTAGTAGGCTACAAAAGTAACCCTACCGTAAAGTGCAGTCCCAGAAATAACAAGGAAAATGGAAAAACTCACTTTTTCTTTATTGCGGTCACGGTTACAGGCAAGTTTTATCTCCTTAGCAAGCTTCTTATAAGTAAATTTGTCTGTCCTCGCGTTTTAGTGCAAAATAGAAATGCCTACCGATGCTAGCCTTCCGCTCCATTTCTTTTACTAGCTTCCGACGCATTTCAAGAGCCTCTTGCCCACCATGCTTTTCAAGCGCACTAACAAATTTAGACGCTACAATAACCACATTTACATTCTCTCAACATCGGATCGCAGGAATACCTGAGTCCTGACCTCATTGGAATAAGGGCTGCGGCTATAGTATCGCGGTAGTTTTTCTAAATCACTAAAATTAACCATGATAAGACGAGACCAAAACGAACGCCGGGGACAACACGTATTCGTTCAAGGCCCTCAATGGCGTCAAATACTTTACCGACTTCACGGAATCATCGTACTTGAGAGGAGTTTTAATCTTGGGGATAACTATGCCCAAAGATACTTGAGTATCCAAAAATACAAACCTTCAGTTTCGACGTTGTCTGATCCTGCATGTGAACTCGCGCTTCGGGACAGAATAAACTGTAATCCTTGGGGGAGAGCTCCGACCTTGTCTAGTCCCTGGAAATGATGATTAAGTATGGTACGCTTAATCGCGGCAGAATTATAGAGTGTGAAACATGATCGGACACATTTACACATGCCGACCAAAGACAACCGAGAAAGAAAAACGATTTACGAAATATCAGGACCTAGATATTAGACAACGCGCGTTTTCAATTCAGGTCAACTGTCAGGTCAGGGCCAAATAAGACTGCAGCGCCATGTCATTACACAGCTGACTAAACTTACATTTTGCCTGCTTTTTTGAACACCTTTTTAGCTCTATAAATCCATCGCAAGTGAATTTTTTGTGAAAAGTGTAATTAATCATAAGAAAATTAATGGTGACACGTATTAAACATTTTTCTGGTTAAGATAAACTAACTCCATTTTGATTATCAAAGCACTGAATGTGTCCTAAAATTATCATTGTTAGTCTTCATTTAACTTTACTCTTAATCTTCCGTATATATTCGCCATGTACCACGTAGTTTTGAGGAGTCACATGTTCATTACTTCTGATTAATTGATCTAGCCTATTATGAATAAAATTTATTAACTTTTTTAACATAAGGTATTTATCATAAAAAAACTATGTAAAATCTTTGTATTCAGTGATATCAAGGATAAAAAGCTTAAATCCCTACGCTAGAGTTATTTTTGGAATAATGATGACTGTGCCATGATGAACTTAAACGAGACTAATAGATTTCTGCATGTACGTACAGTTTCTGTGCGAAATCACAAATACGCTAATTAAAAAGCAGCCGCTATATTTACCTGACTATAATCGCCACTGTTTCTTCTCAAGTAGCAATTCGTAAAGGAAAAAAAATTCCAAAGAACAAATGTACATATAATTGAAAGTATACTTAGTGATTTAATATGAAAATATTCCATATGAAAACAGGCTGAATGTGTCATCCCCAAAAAGAAAAAATCAAAGGAAATACATACATTAAATCTTGGATCGAGTAAATTTGATTCATTGAACCAGAAACCGTTGTATTGATCGACAGTCCTTGCAGGCAAAACTTCGGATTCCGAGAAGGCTCAGTAAAAGACGACAACATGCTTTATTGTGAAAATGAGGATTACACAAACTCAAAGAGTATAGTAGGCGGTACGTTGTCATATCAGCCGCACAGGTCCAACTCCCATGCATCGCACGAGCCTCTGTGGTTCGCCTCGAAGAAGATTAGCATTGCCGAGACTGCAATGCCCCGCCCTCGTCGGTTGGATCAACATGGTGGTGGCGGGAGGAGACGACGTGCAGGGACCACAGTTCCCAGTGCCCCGCATGCAATTGCATTGGCATTGTCTGTCAAACAACGTGAGGGCATTGCAATGCTTTCAGTCTGCATCAACCACTCCTAGTCTCCCTCTAATCAGCATATTTGATATTGCTTCAACACATCCAAATGATGGGTTTTGAATAGGAGAATTGGATTGTTGTGTAAAATACTAGTTATAGCACCGTGAACAACTGTTGATACGTTGGCGCCTCGTTGGATATCCTATTTTCCCACCTAAATGATTTGATGTGGCAATTTAGTGAACCGGCTATTTGGCTCCCAGGTTTGGCTTCAATTATGTGGCAATTCTGGTAGTCTGTTCATTGTGTACTCACAGAACTTGTGTTTATAGCAGGACCGGCAGAGTGCACAAAAGGCGTCTTTTCTGAAGGCCTTCAGCCAGGTTTTTAACTGACGGATCATTTATTCTGAAAATACCCTTAAACGCCACATTGTTTGTGTATTCTGGGTTAAGAGCCACAGTCTAGCTCTGGTTATGCACATGTTTGCCGTACCGAGTAGTAGTAGTAGTAGTAGTAGAGTGCGTTATTATATGTTAACTAGCTGGCAGTGACTAACCTCATGAATGAGACTCGGGCTCTTATAGCATATTCTGAAGAAATCCTCCTAGATAATTTTTATTGAGCCCTCTTCGAAGGGACTAAACCCTCTACTCCATAAAAGCACAAATGTCATTGAAGAGAGTCAGGTCGCACATTCACCTCAAGGGATAACTGAAGTGGTTTTTCGGTGGTTTCTGCCGCCTTTGTTGTTATTATTTGGCCGGAGTTATGTTCGCGAATGCGAGAGCTCTTTAAGGGTACTATCTGCAAAGTGTCACTCTCTGCATAATTAAGCAAGGTGATGCATTAAATTTCTCCTTTGAACTACACTTGTGCCATATTGGGAGTCAGGCCTGTGGGAGAGCACTCAAATTCCCTGTACGCAATTAGGAAAAGAAGAAGCTCGTTTCACGGACTCACCCTAGACTCGTGTTGCCACCAGGCTTCCCTTGACTGACACTGTGAAAGGCCTGGCCAAACGCACTGAAGATGTTCCCTCCACCTCCGTTCTCCTGACGCATTTCCAGAGTTAAAATCGCACGTCATGTAGTCGTAATTTATACTACGTTTAATGCGTAGTAACCTCGTAAACAAAATGAGTTATCTGCGAACACACTCATGCCAACAGCAACTGCGCAATGTTCGAACACTCTTGTGTCGATTCACGCTCGTCTGCGGTTTGAAAGCGCATGAACCGGTGAGGCCGAAAACACCTAGTGACTCCAAAGATCAAAAACGTGCTTTTGTCGTTTCTTCATGCGTGCCACAAGCGCACCTTGCCCTCTGAAGTTATCGCAAAAGTTATGGTGCATTCTCAAGTGTGCGTCGTTGTACAGTCGCACAAAATATTTCTTGATTGTTGCGCCACCTGCCTTCCATAAAGGTCGAAATAGCGTTTTACGAAAACAAACACTGATAAAACTGGAATTTATAGTTGCGTCTTTACATTAGACATGAAATTCGAGTTTTAAAAACTCGTAATTGCGTTCTCGAGGCAGACTCCACCAGTCCCCATGTGCATGTCATTTCCTGGCATCGCTAAGTTCCTCTTCATGTAGGGGAATCACGCTGCACTGACCGTTGGTCCATGCAGGCGCCCGTCCATGCAACAATTCACAACGTATCGTGATGCACTGATTATCGTCATTAACCTGTTTGCGGTTGCCCATCGTCACTACAACCTTGCATCTCTAGTTGAGGGGACTTGGCGAAATCCGAGGCACCTTTGATTTGCTCTACCATCAAGTATTCAGTTAACCAGTGGGTGTTCATTTTAATTCCATTCAGGCCATGGAACCCGCTGGATGGCATTGCTTGCTCTACGCAGTCGTGTATGCGACGAGTCTCGCCGCTCTCAGACGTGCCCGCGACCAATTCCACAGTGTGGTCTGCGGAGCTGTTGGGACGTGTTTTTGTGACAGGCGTTTGGCATGGACTCTGGTGCGCTCTCTGCCAATGGGAGCGTCGGTGGAATGGCAGTTCGCGACATCGCATGACGCCAGTCTGCACGAAAAGACAGTGCTCAGAGGGGATGGTTCGCCACCAGCAAGATGTGTTCTGATTTTATTCAAATCGGGAGCTAAGCCACCCGATGTAAACTATCCCATTGTGCCTGTTTTACGATTTTTGGATGAGTCGATTGAAAATATGTTTGTGACTTCATAATTAGTCTTAATTCGACAAAGTCTTTTGAAATATTTGGTGGCTTAACGCGACCATGTGGGTCTATTGCGGGAGGTATAATGGCTGGTAGTTTAGCAAGTGTCCTGATGTCAAAACCACATTGAATTCACGATTTAACGGTATATTTTCCTGTCCTAGAAACGACCGACACGGTTTACCGTTTTGTATTGATTTCCTCCTGCTAACTGGGTCCATTTAACTCCTCAAACTGCCCCCACATTATCCACCCACTGTCTTAGCGCAGGTTAATAGCCCTTGAATTGATGTTAAAAGCGTGCATTTGTTGAAGATCCAACATGTTGTGGATCGGGTCCATCAATCAAAGCACCAATGCTGGTCGACCTTCCTCCGCGTGCTCATCGACAATGACACCTAGCTCAGTAACCTGAAGTGTTCAGTTGACCCAAGGTGCCTTCCTGGTGATGGGAATGAGCCGTCAGACAACGAAATGGTGCCAATTGTAGAAGCCAAGACGATGCGATTCAAGGTGTTCATTCTCCTGTTAGTGTCATTTTGGTTTTTCAGCGAGTCCAACAGACGACTAACTGCGACGTAACTTACATGTGGTCGCTTTACCGAAGAACGCATCATCCCGGCGGACACATGGTCCTCGAGTACAAAGATAACTCCAGGCAAAAGGTGGCAGCTGAGATGTAAGTAGTCGGTTGGTGATATATTCTAGACGCCGGTTGAGGTAATGTGATGGGTTGGGAAATTCTAGTCGCCATAGCATGACTGGACGCACTTGATCAAGATTGTATTGCAGTGAGTCGGACTTGTTGAGCGCATTGAAATAGTTTGAGTGACATGCAGTCCTCTTATAGCTTGTGATTTTCCGCGATGTGCTCGCCAGACAGTAGTGGCATGTTACCATTATGTCATATCACGAACTGATCCTGATCAACCACAATATTATGCGGTTTCCTAGTCGCGTATCCGTGCAAATGTCCTCTCGTTCTCGTCCACCACAATTCGCTAGGTGTCCAATCATCCCACGCATGCACACACACACACACACAGATAATGAAAAAACGGCAGGTCCGCCCCAACCTTCCGACTTCGCCGAGGCATTGTTGCTTCGTCCGCAGTTACTTGACCCAACACTGCTAGTTCAAGTTCCCAATCGCCTAGTGAGTTAGATTTGATAAAATTGACTGCTCAATCAGATTGCGAGGTGCCGATGTTAAGGCTAGTATTCTTGCATATCTTAAGCAGCGCACTCGTAACACTCACCACGTTAGTTTTTATCTATCCTTTGTTTTACTTATGATTCTCGCCCAGCGCTACGTGCGATTCGCTCAATGGACAAGCAAGGCGCCTGTTCCCATCCCCTAATCGTGGACAAAAGTATAGCTTATCGAACCTTCCGGATCGTCTTTTATCCGTTGCGCTGTCGGCGTGTCCAGGCAACGATATTTCGTTCTAGTAAACAAGACGTGCTAGCAGCGCCTCATTGGATCCCTGCTCGCTGGCCTCTTACTCTGCGGTCATTCGTCATCGACAGACATCAAATGGTGGCGAACTGAGTGGTTACACTGTCGGAACGCGTACGCTTGACAGCAGTTAGGTTTGCATGCTATTTGCACTACCCTGCATTCAACGGCGCCTAGAGGAGGGTGCTCTTCACACAAAGTAGGTGGATAATTAACTCTGGACCGATCGCGATGGCTTCGGGCACAACAGCAAAACTGGTTCTCATCAATTAGCCTTAAGCGCATGTCGCTAACACCCAGGAAAGTGGCAACATTTGGTAGAACTGTACAACTTCCGGGAACACATCGCTCTGATGACAAAGGCTTGAACAGACGCTGGGCGGTTAGGTCGCGCATTATAATCAACTGTAGAGAAGAGAAACGCCTGTCAAGAGGGCCTTTCATCGATGTAGAGCCGATCAAGCTGCAAATCTTGCTACATGTCATTTTTCCTTCCACAGAGTCGTACTCGTGAAACCTCCCGACCAACGAGATCCGCATAAAGTGTCTTCGGTCACCCATTAAGGAAACAGACAACGTCTACACTAAAAAGATGTGGAACCATTTGCTAGAACAATGCTAGAGGAAACGCTTAACAGAGGAATGAAATAGTAGGCCGTGACACCCAAGTGCACTGTATCGCCTAACATTTGATGTCTGGTGTCAAGTGCACTTTCGAGGCGTTTTGAGTTGAATTCTCCAAGAGGTCGCGGAGCGCAAATGAATATGGGGTATCAGCACAAATATTTCATCAATGCAATTCAATGATTCCTTTCGGAGCATCATTCGTTCCCAACGCCCTGCCATCGACGCTACACTTGCCATTTTGCGTCCGGATGACAATTTCGGTGGATTGATAACCACATTTAAGTGCCCACCACTCTCTCGATGACTCATTTTTGCACCTCGCTTAGTGCATTTATGCATTTTGGCACCCTGAAATTGCAGGAAGGTTGAGCGCATTTTCATTAACATCTTGTTGGATGAATTATTTCCTAATTAATGACCCTTGTTCCGGTAGGCTTAACTGAAACAAATTACCACCGATTTTTTGATTTATGCTGAAGAGTATCGGTACTAACGGGTCACGTGCAACATTTCCATTCATCGCTTATAGTCAAAACCCCGAGACCACCTGGGTTTTCAAGATAGAATCCACTGAAATCATTCTCCGACTGAATTCCTATTGTAAGTTTGCACCGACTTTCGCGGAGAGACTTTAAGAGGGACGACGACAATAAACTCTAGTGCCGAAAAAGGATAACCTGTAAGAAGGCTAATTTAAGTTGCAAATTAAACATAAGCAAACGTCGTTTCACACCAATTCAGCTGAGTTGCTGCATAATAAATGCGATACAAAATAACTCAAATCAGGTGATCAAAATGACAACAGCAACGCTATTCGGTGATATTTTATACAAAAATATATGCTAGTGGGTTACAATGTGCGGAGATAATCATTAAACAGATCTTCATTGCCTCGAGCAAACCGTCGACAAAAGTCTTCGTCGGATCCTTGAACTATTGCGTCCAAGGGTGTGTACAGAGGCCTGTGGAAATTGACGGCACATAAATCACAGATTACATTTTATATACAACACAATTACCATGTTGCAGCTAACACAAATAGAGTCTCGATTTCACAAGCTACGATGGTAAGGGAAACGTCGGTTCAACAACTCACGTGATTTAATTGTTGCAGGTGTCGGTAGTTTCAATTAGCAGTGCAGTCGCTTATAACGGAATTCACCCAAGTCCCGTAACCGTGCCACCCATGCCTTATATTACGAACACAATAGACGGGGGAGAGAGGGAGGGAATTAGAAGCCTTCTATCCTTCCTTCCACTCTTCTTCAGTTAACTGTACTCAACCACGCATTGTCTCTAGCTAGGCTGCAACCTTTGCATCACTAGAAGCGCATTCGGCATTGGCAAGCTACCACTCGCGGGGCACACAATTTCAATAAGTCATGGCAATTTTGCCTAGTACTTGAAAGGGGACTGCGTTGCGCAACGCCTACTGGATGAATACAGGTTTAACAAAAAAAGCATGATACAGTTGCTGTGAGTTACTACACTTACACAGTACACCCTAGAACGTTCTCACTTTTTAATTGCTTTTCTTAAATATTACAAAGATTATATCGTCATCGCGTCAGAGTCCGCAAAGCAACAACGCGAAAAAATTATTCATTTTTCTGACCTTTGCACGTGTACATCATGCATCTTCATTTATCCACACTACAGTACAGTTCCAACGTGGCTCATAACTTAGACCTCGTCTTGACGGGATCTCGGCCAATAATGCCTTCGATGGCATTGTATTTGTGTTATTTTGTGCAGCGCATAACAGATGCGATTCGCACAGGCGATTTTGAGCCAACAATGAGTCAGATATGCTGTCTTCAAAACGTACCTCCTGCCATCTGGTTGAAAGAGACCGCACAGCTTTAGGAAATTCGTCCTCTCCTTTAGAATACGAGGGGGTGCACACAGGGCACGAGGACAAAGTGCTATCAGATCAAACTCGAGTTCTAAACGCTTGTGCAAGTGAAAGACGTTCGTCGAGAGAACACGGTTACCTACAAACAGTTGGGTTTGGAACGAGCATTAATCAGTAGGAGCGAAATAAAATTAACAAGGAAACTAGAGCAAAAATTACTGGGTAATCACCTCACCGGCAAGCACAATTTTCTGCTGCTAACGCGGTGACACGCCAGGAACCCATTGGGTCTGTGGAATCTGTGTGAAGACCTACTTACATCTCTAAGTGTGATTCATTTCACTCGCACGTTTTTATTCAACACCTAAAATCACTACAGCATTCTGAGCCTTCAAAGGTTTCCTGTAGAGCTAACAGTAAATTGCACTGGTCCGCTTAGGACAATTTCTTGTCTACTCCAAAATCACCGTGCCTTTTTCAGCGGGCTCTGACTTCCTCGTATTTATGGGGCCATTGAAGACACCACAGGGTTGTTTCCACTCAATCAGGACGACTAACACAAGGTGCAAATGCAGCGATCGTCGAACTTACTTGACATGACAATCGGCGGAAAATCGTTCACCATTTGTCGCGCCGTGGCCACTGGAAAGCCCATCATTTTTGTGAGCACAACAAAAACGTCCTACAAAAATGACAGAATTTCTGTGCATTAGATACCATATTTGTGTAAAGGCCGTTGGGAGGGCTATATAAGTTGCATATAGGCGAATACTATAAAGGAGATGCGGCCGTAGTGCATTTCTACTTAGGTCTTGGCAGATAAAGTGTATGCTCGGGATTACGAACCGCCCGATAAAACGTTGTCAGTTGCAATTTCAAGTACAACCATTAAACTGATTGCAAAGAGAGATCACCGTTAACAATCGAGTCTCCAAAAACACTTAGCTGGATTCCATTTGGGGTGACTTTATACAAGAACCGTGCGCTGGGTTATGCAAGGCTATCCAAAATCACCGAATGTCCTCAAGTAAATTCACACAAAAATTCACAGGTTTCAACCAACAAGACTATGACCACCCCAATGAGGACCCAAACCATGTCAACCGGCGGAGTACACTGCCAGTACACTACCGGACAACGCGAATTTCGAATGCTTCTACGGTGAATTCCACATTCGAGAGCCAAAAAAACATTGCAATGCTTAATTATACCGTGAATCGATTTAGACGGCTGCTTCGCTTGGTTAACGGCACCTCAAGTACCAAGGGAACTCAGTAGATGACGATCGCTGAACTCAAGTGCTCTGCTAGAACAGCAAGTTTACTCAAGATCATCGTGCCCGTCGTAGTTGCAAGTGAAGTCCATTTTCATCTTCACGATGCCTTTTAGCAGTCGGCCTTTTTGACTGTCTATTAGCGCTCCCTACCTTTGGTTAGCTGTTGCTCTACTTTTAAGGCCATTCACACACACAGAGGATTGGACGGGCTTCGTTTGAATCAATATGTCGGCCCCATAAAATTAGCGCTTTTTAATTGCGTGTGGTCGAAGTCTTTGACTTTTAACCCCATTTATTCTGTCTCAGGTTGGACATTTTGTGGTTTTAGTTTAGTTTATTTAGAGATTTTTCGTTTGAATTCCGTGTGATATTGTAATACATTACCTATATCTTCATATAGCTAAGCACCACTGCACTCGAGATGTCTTACTTGAGCTCGTTCACATACATGGTCGAGGTTTTAACAGCTCTAATTTAAACATCGGAGCCTTGCATAGTTCACGTTTTACTTATTTCATTAACCTTATTTATGAAAATGCTTACAGATACCTGTGTCACTGATTCTTGGGCTTCGTATCATCCTGTGTTGCCGTTTGACACCTGGGCACCTTAACATCTTTATCATCAGACCACGATGAGTTAACATATATTTCATTCACTCCTCCGTTTCGACTGATATTTTGTTATCCACACATAGTTCTTAAGCGGATCTCCTATCCAACTCCGCTGTTGTTTTTTTTCCTGTTAAAACGTTCGATTGTCAGCTAGAGGTGTGCCAGTCTACCAGTGTTTTTAAACATGTACTAATCTACTTACAAATTCAATCGCAAAATGACAGTCTAAAACATCTTCATAATCTAACAACTCACTTTCGTGGACTTCGTCTCTTGTACAATACATTTGGGGGCCTCTTTCGCAATGTGGCGAACTTGGTCAGCTGTGAAAAAAAAAGCGGAACAACCTAATCCGAATGTCACGTAGTTTACGATAACAGGAGTTGTTTGTTAGAAGAAAATAATCAGAACTCAAATAATTGAAAAAAGAAACCGAAATAAAGAACGTGGTTCTGTAGCGATGTTAGTAGGTTCATGAAAAAACTTGTCGTAATACCAAAATGAAGGGCATTATTTAACGCCACTATTGACGTAGATATTACCATTCAAATGAAATGTGTTCATGAGAGTCCCCAGCCGCCTATCGACTTCAACACTTGTTAGTGCCAGAATCTGTGGCTGATCTGATACCATGTGAATCACGTCCTTTGCGCCGAATCCACGATCAGTGAAGTACTTTAGCCGGGAGGAGATCTCTTCAGTTGAGACCTGGGAGACAGGAAAATTTGAGAGGAATGCGTGGGACCAGTGCAAGTCACCAGGGTTCGGGAATACAAGGATAAAAAAAGTGGAAGGTTGGAATGAGAGATCGGCATGGAATTAGGAAATGAGGTTACATTAAAGTATCGAAAATCACCTAACCGTGGATAATGAATGGAAACAGTGGATTTAGGTTGTCTTGATCGGCTAACGCATCCGACAGGAGCAAATAAGGAGATGATAGTAAAAGAAAATGACAATTTGTTACTCAAATAGGATGCACGTAAAGGACGAATTTGCAAACACGCGTGAAACTGTTGAAAATGTTCAAATATTATTCATATCCATTGTAAACACGTTGGAGGATAAAGGCAATAAGCACCCGACCGCTAGACCCCATCTTCGAGCGTTTGGGGTGACAGTACCGAACAATGTGTGGATACATTCGTCGTAATCAGACCGTTACACTGCCACAGGCGAGCAGTCTAAACTAGTTCATCAATCCCTATTACACTCGTTGACAAATGCTGCAAATTTCCTGGAAAATGACATTTAATAGATAGAAATATAAAAGGATATAAAATCTACAACGCTATCTCCTGCCAAGAATGACACTGAATAAATTATCAACGCATTTACTTTCTGGATACTGCCAGGATTGTTGTTAGGGTATCGAGATTACGGCTATTTTCGAGAGCATTACAAGAACCACATCCGTTTTGCGTACAAGACATTAATCGCATATTTTGTGCATAGTTAGGAAAAGAATCAAAAAAAATCGCAAAATGATGAGGTAAACCTGTAGAATAATGCCTACCAGAACATACCTTAATGATGGTTTTGGGGACACGTGTAAAAATACGGGCGACAAGCGGCAATTCAAATCCAAAGTCGGCAAAAAGCCATAACTTGGGAGCCACGGAAACGTTAAAATCAGTCTTAACAAGAAGGTTAGCCACACCGGGCTCAGACTCGATTCGCGAGAGATCTACGCCGAGTCTGACGAGTTTCTTTAGGCAGTCATTGCTGAGAAAAATGAAAGTGGTTAGTACAGACTACATAGGAGCACTAACAAATCAAGGCAATATTTTTAAGACAGAAGACTACAAATCAAAATGCAAACAACCCGACTAGGGTTTGCATTCGGGTGCAAAAGCCAAATTAAGATATGAAAATACACAAAACAGAGTTGCGAACTCCACACCGCTTGACGCCAATAGGAATGATGAGATTAAATGTGCGTATAAGATCTCCAAAGTGATCAATTACATACACCTATCCCTTGGGTCACTTTTCATCAAAATTGGTAGTAAAAACTAATAATCGTGGCCGATGTGACAGGAATAGAACTAAACTAAGTTTGATTGTCAAAAAGAGGACCATGGCAATTCATAATAATTCAATACAGCATTGGTGTCTAAAGCAGTGTAATCCAAGGCCTTGAAGCAAATTTAATGGTCATATTTTATGATACATGGCCAAGTGGCATTACACTAGGCACAACTGGATTGTATCATTATTTTCATTGAAAATTTAAATCAAATGAAATCGAGTAAAAGTGACTTGTTTGAGCTAATAATGTAAAATAATGTCATTTGCTGGTTATTTTTATAAATACTCATTTTATACTTATACTTTATACTCAGCCATGGCCTTCATACAACCGTATATATTCATGAAGGTGAAGATAGTTTAGGGGTGAGGAACACATTGTCGTTGAAAGAAAAACAACTTACTGTGCTACAAGAGCAGCCAGATTGCCGGAATCCGGCAAACGTGGGTAAAGTTGATTGATATCTAGTTCAGCTATCCACTTCTGTAAAAGCGAAACACTGCTTCCAACTCCCAAATGCTGGCAATATTTTGACGGATCAGGATTGTTGAGTAAATCCGCTTTAGAAATGCTTGTGGCAAGAATATTAGATGACTGTAATGAAGTCGTAAGTGACTTATGACTGGAATCAATCCGAGTGGTAACTGTTACCATGCGAAGGAACACTTCAAGTAATAGGTTGTCCGATTTGCGCAGAACTGAAGTGAACATACACCCGGCATTCAATGGGAAAAATAATTTGCTTAAGAGCTGCTTCTTTGAGGCTAAAAAGAAGCAAAATACAAGTTTCAAGCTTATCAGGTTAGGTTTTTTAGGTGTCAAAACAGGTCTTGCATACCTTATAATTTGCAAGAGCATTCTACCCAATTTATATAGATTTTGCCTACAGATCACACTTAGGTGCAGAGCGAAAACGGTTATCGATAAGACTGTCTAAAATTGTTCAAAACGGTTTTAACAGGAAAAAAACAACAGCGGAGTTGGATAGGAGATCCGCTTAAGAACTATGTGTGGATAACAAAATATCAGTCGAAACGGAGGA